GTGCACGTGCTGCATGTACTGTACACACTGTACATCTGTACACGGTGTGAGTTGCTGGTGATGCAAGTGCTTTGCTGTTGGGGCAGCAATCAATTCGGATTTTAACAAGAATCTCTCTCCCTCTCACCTCAGCACAGAGAAGATTTTCGCCATCTTGCCGATGGCGCGGATTTTGTTGCGAATGACTTCCTTCCTTGCAGCCGCAGAGGCCCCTAGAGATGCAGGGAGATGCAAAGAGATGCGGGGAGACACGGGGAGAACACGAGGAGACGAACGAAAAGGGGGAAACACGGAGAGACAGGATACACGGGCAGACACAGGGAGACACGGAGGAGACACGGGGAGACACGAAGAATACACGGGGAAATGCGGGAGATAAGGGGAGATGGAGGAGACAGTGGGAGACACAAAGAGACACGGAGGAGACTCAGGAAGAAACGAAGAGACACGCGGAGACACGGGGAGACACGGGGAGACACGGATAAGATGGAGGAGACACGCGGAGACACGAAGAGACACCGGAAGACAGGGGGAGACAGGTGGAGACCGAGGAGACACGGAAGAGACACGGGGAGACGGGGCAACGAAGAGACACGAGGAGACACGGAGAAGATGGAGTAAACACAAAGAGACATAGGGAGACACGGGGAGACAGGGAACACGGGGAGACAACAGGAGGCACATGGAGGAGACAAAGGAACACGGGGGAGGAGAAAGACAACAACACGGGGGAGGAGAAGACAAGGAGTGAGCTGGAGTCGTGATCGACGTCTCTGTTATCTCCACTGCACGAGCGTTAGGCACTGCATCTCCACCGCACACACGGGCAAAGCTGCCTCAGGTAACCCACACAGGCTGTTGGGGCAAATGCTGTTAGCGAGCAGCACCTATGAAGGCCGACACGGCACACAAGGGGGTGGGTGGCCAGCACCATGCCCGGCCGCCTTTGTCTCCTCAGTGGCAATGTTACTACGCACCACAAAAGGTAATCATTTGCGGCTGAGTCGACCTAGGGGAGGCCCAGGACCGGTTCAGATAATCGTCTCTGGTGTAGGTGGACATGAGGGGGGAAACAAACTCGGGTCTCTCACCCATTGACCTGGACCCACCCACACCGACCACTCAACCACTCACTTACTCACCCAGCCACTCAACTACTCACCCCCAACTCACTCGCGATCTCACTGATCCACCGACTCACCCGCTCACTCACACAACCACTCTCACATTGGTCGCAGAGTTCAGTTCCTGGTTTAGATCTCGAGTCTCAGGGTTAGATTTGTCAGGCAGCACGGCAGAGACAGGCAGGGAAGACAGGCAGGGAAGACACTCAGAGGAGACACTCAGAGGAGAGACAGAGGAGAGACAGAGGAGAGACAGAGGGAGACAGAGGAGAGACAGAGAAAGAGGCAGAGCAGAGCCACTATCTGTACCTCTCTTTTGGCCATAAACACCCGGATCTGCAAGAGACATTGGTGATCACACGGGCACAGGTAGAACAGGTAGAGCTGTCCCATAGTAGCTCACTCACACCAGGGGCAAGGGCTGAGAGAGGGGGGGTAGTGCTGCAGCTGCTGCAGACGATGCTGATGATGAGGATCATCATGCCGATTATAATGTAGATGGTTGAGATGATAGTGACGTAGCCGGAGATGATGTTGCTGCTGCTGCTGATGATGGTGACGCTGGTCATAGTGATGCTGCTGATACTGACACTGATCCAGATTCTGTTGAGGCCGATTTCGATGTTAGTGCTGGTAATGATGGTGATGTAGGTACTGGTGATGATGATGCTGCTGATGTTTCTGCTGACAGTGATCCAGATGCTGCTGAGGCTGATTTCGATGTTAGTGCTGGTAATGATGGTGATGTGGGTGCTGGTGATGATGATTCTCACCGTCAATCTCATCTCCGTCTGCCTCCAGTTCATGGTCCGAGCAGATATTCAACACGTTCACCAACATCTCCGTAACTGTGGAGATGCACAACAGCAAAAACAACAAAGCGACATTTTCCACCAAGCGGTGGTGACGTCACCACGTCGCTTGTGCCCAAGAGCCACGTGAAGTGTCGAGGGCTCTTTGCTGGTGGGAGGAGGTCACAGGACAGACCCGGCAGGTGCCAAGAGGCTGGGGGAAGAGAGATGTGGTAACAGCACGGGCAGCCAGGTGTGTTGGGGTCGACTTGAGGGTCCCAGTGATACGCATTGCAGTTTTTCAGTTGGACATCGACACAAGTCGAGTGGGTGACGACTTCTGGTCCATACTGGTGCCAGTACTCGGCTACACAGTACAGAGTTGGTACATCAATAAGTCGAGTGGGTGACGACTTCTGTACTTTTTGTTTTTTTCGGTAAAGTCACGTAGGTAAAAAATTGAAATAAATTAACTCACGACGTTTCGGAAGCAACACAAGCTCCGTCATCAGGTGTAACTGCTCCAGTAAAATTGCTGTAGCGTATGAAGAGAGCTATTCAGAAACACGTGCTTTTTATAAGGCAGGGAGGAGCCAATGAGGCGGGGGGGGAGAGATAACCATCTTGGTGCTTGTACAATAAATGTACGGTGCCTGTACGATGAATGGCGAATGGGAATGAACACTGTTGTAAATCAAAATTTATTTAGTGATGGTGGTGTATCAGGCTGGATATGACTGTAAATTATAAAATCAATATGGATATGATTATGAGAGTAAATATAAACTGGCTGTTTAGCAGTAAACTGCACGGCAGCTAAAGTTTAAACTTGGTTAATTACATCCTTCCACTGATTGCTCAATTTGAAGCATCATCTCGGTTGAAGTTATGTCTATGTTTGTATATTTGGAAAATTAGAAAAGCTTAAGTTTAGCTTCTGGTCCATACTGGTGCAGAGTGCTCGGCTACAGAGTACAATGCAAGGGCCATCGTTGATGTCCGTGGTAGCACCGAGGGTGCTTTTGGCTCCCCACAGCTATAAATTACCAGTATTCTGGACCACGTTGACCACTTGGTTTCTGCCTTGGCGGCTACCTTCCTCAGGTGGTCGTCTCTCCTCCCTGGCTCTTCCCCCCTTCTCTTGCCTATATGGCCTCTTGTTGCAGCAGCCCTTTTGCCCACTTCAGCAATTGTTCTTGCTGTGGTTGTCCCACCTGATGACAGACGCTTGTGTTGCGGCCCGAAACGTCGTGATTTAATTCATATTTATTTTATACCTACGTGACTTTACCGAAAGAACCAAAGAGTATAGATCCCTGCAGTCACGAAAACTTCAAATCTAGATTGGTCGTGGAAGGTTTAGCGGCACAGTCTGGCTTCACTTCAAGATAGGTTGGAGTGTTGCCGCAGGAGGTCACTTTCAAGGAGTATGCCCGGTGCTCCTATTATCAAGATGAGATGCAGTGACTGTTGTGTCTTGTGAGTTTACTCTCTAACACACCGATGTGCAGTACGGCTAATTAATTGGCGTGTTTTGTTTGCAACGACAAACCTTACTGATTGGTTTGTGTTGGGGTGGTGGCGGGTTTAACGACACATTGATAGAGGTAGGAACAACAGTTTCACACTGCCCACCAAGGATTATTTGTCTGTCTGTCGTGCATAACCACGCCCTCGATTTGTATTTCATAGAGCGCTCGGGCGGGCTCAGCACCACGTGACGCGCCGCCCCACGCAGCTTGCGCCGCGTGACCGGATCGCACGAATGCGCTGTCCAACCAAGTTCCTACCTGCCCACTCCGAAGGAACGTGTTATTTACGTGATCTATCCTAAAAAAATACCTCTTATGGATAATATTGGTAGCAAAAGTCTACGTGTTAAACTGAGGTGCCGTGGGGTTGACCGATTTAGATGACTGGCAGATGAACCACCATCTGTGCCACTGTGCCAATTGCGTTATCGGCACTTGGCGCTCCGATTATTGCGATGAGCAGCGTCGCCCCTCCTCCGCCCCCCTCCGCTGTTGTTGTTGCTGCTGGAGGGCGAATGCCTCCAACTGCCCCCCAGTAGCCCTGGGACAGCAGCCAGAGCACAGAGGCTCCGCACTGAAAGCCCTCGGTTTCACGTGATGCACACACGTGTGTGTCTGTGTGTTTGTTGAACTTGTAAAAGAGATTAATTTGTCAATGTTCGATGATGGGGGGAGCGCTAGTGTAGCGTGCTGCGCTACGAACCTGGCTATGACCCGAGTTTGTTTCCCGCTCACGGCCAACACCGGTGATAGCGATTATCTGAACCGGTTATGGGGCTCCGCTGCTAGGTCGACTCAGCCTCAAATGAGTACCCTGGTGCAGTGTGTAAACATCGCCAGTGAGGAGACAAAGGCGGGCCGGATGTTTGTACTGGCCACCCACCCCATTGTGTGCCCTTCCGGCCTTCATCGATGCTGCTCGCTAACAGCGCTTGCCCCCAACATTCTGTTAAGGCTATTCGGGGGATCTTTGCCTTTTTGCGTTGAACTTCTATGGCACTGCACCGTACGTACATACGTACGTGTAGCCAACCGCCGCTAATCGGAGGTGGCGTGTGCGGTGGGGGGGGATAAGGATGACAAACCGAACGCGATGGCGGGAAGCACTTTTCTAAGGAGGTATTTGTCATTGAGGACTATGTAAAAAAAAAGTGCAGTACAGCTCTTCCCCCCCCCCCCCCCAAGTAGCTTACCCCTTGTACGTCGCAAGGAATCGGGTGTTTCAGACGGTCGCAGGAGCAGCGTGTTGTGAGAAGCAGTGCGACGCGGTTAAAATGCCGGACCACGTTTTAACTTCCCATCGTTTAAATCTTGATTTATATTAATAATATTATATTATTTTACATAAATATGATTTTATTATTTCACTTCTACGTGACTTTACCGAAGGAACCAAGAATATGATTCCCACGGTTTGTTTTGGCCCACGCGCGAGTCCGACACGCCCGTCGTCCCGCTTTCTCTTCGCTGGATGCAACAGCAACCGCTCATCCAAGGTCGGATGAGAGTTGCCGGAGCACGTGCACGTACTATATGCACTGCGTGTACTGTGCGCACTGTGTATACTGTATGTACAGTATGTACTGTGCACGGCGTGAGTTGCTGGTGATGCAAGTGCCTTATTGCTGGACAGCAATAAACTCGGATTTTTTAAATGTCTCTCCCTGTGTCTCTCTCTCTCTCTCTCCACGTATAGCTCTCTCCGTATGTCTTTCTCTCGGTGTCTCTTTCTCTCCACGTCTCTCTCCCCGTGTTTCAGTCTCTCTCCCCATGTCTCGTTCTCTCCCCGTATCTCTCTCCCCATGTCTCATTCTGTCTCCCCGTATCACTCTCTCTCCCGATGTCTCTTTCCTCTTGTCTCATTCTCTCTCATCGTGTGTGTGTGTCTCTCTCACCCTTCTCTCCCACGAATGGCAGGGACCACGTGAAAACGTCCATGAAGTTGGGCAGCCAATACGGATGCGGCGAGCAATTGAACTGGCGAATATTCATCACGTTGTTCTCATACTTGAGGATGGCCGCTGGGAGAGAGAGGGTTGAATCAGAGGGGGAGAAAGGGGAGAGAGGGAGAGAGAGAGGGGGAGGAGAGTTGTTAGGATGTAGCGTATTAAAGTAGTGGTAGCCTTGCTGTGGGTAGCAGTATGTGCGAGTGGAGTATTTCTGAGTGACGTTAGGGCATAGTTGGGGTGTAGTATATAAGTGTTTATAGTTAAAGTGTAGTGTATACGAGTGTGATTAAGTTGTAGTTAGGGTGGAGTGTATGAGTACGGCATAGTGAGTGTGTGTGGCCAAGGCGTAGTGAGTGTGTATGTGTAGCCACGGCGTAGTGAGTGTGTGTGTGTAGCTACGTAGTGAGTGTGTGTAGCTACTAGTGAGTGTGTGTGTGTGTAGCCACGGTGTAGTGAGTGTGTGTGTGTAGCTACGTAGTGAGTGAGTGTGTGTAACTACGTAGTGAGTGTGTGTAGCTACGTAGTGAGTGTGTATGTGTAGCCACGGCGTAGTGAGTGTGTGTGTGTAGCTACGTAGTGAGTGTGTGTAGCTACTAGTGAGTGCGTGTGTGTGTAGCCACGGCGTAGTGAGTGTGTGTAGCTACGTAGTGAGTGTGTGTGTGTAGCTACGTAGTGAGTGAGTGTGTGTAGCTACTAGTGAGTGTGTGTGTAGCCACGGCGTAGTGAGTGAGTGTGTGTAGCTACTAGTGAGTGTGTGTGTAGCCACGGCGTAGTGAGTGAGTGTGTGTAGCTACGTAGTGAGTGTGTGTGTGTAGCCACGGCGTAGTGAGTGTGTGTATGTAGCCACGGCGTAGTGAGTGAGTGTGTGTAGCTACGTAGTGAGTGAGTGTGTGTAGCTACGTAGTGAGTGTGTGTGTGTAGCCACGGCGTAGTGAGTGAGTGTGTGTAGCTACGTAGTGAGTGAGTGAGTGTGTGTAGCTACTAGTGAGTGTGTGTGTGTAGCCACGGCGTAGTGAGTGTGTGTGTGTAGCTATTGTGCAGTGAGTGTAGCGTTACCCTTGTTGTTGTAGACATCGAGGTAGTTGGGAGCGGAGAAGATGGTGATGAGAGATGGAAATCCGGTTGTTTGACTCTTACGGTACATCCGGTACCTGTGAGAGACAGAGACCCTTACAGTTCATTCAGTTCCTGTAAGAAACTCTCACGGTACATTAAATGTGAGAGACTCTTACGGTACATTTGGCACCTATCGGGAACTCTTACGGTACATTCAGAACCTGTGAGAGACAGAGAGACTCTCACGGTACATCAGAATCCGAATATTAATTTATCCTGGAGAAATCCAATGGGCTATGATGCTATTGTTCAAAGATGTCCAAAATGGGGGCAACACGGGGTCAGAATGTTACAACAAATATGATGCTACACAAACACGATAGGAGCAACTGAAAGTGTAGTATAGATTGCATAAGTACACCGATTCCCAGGCTACAGCAAGGCAGCACAAACAGAAGCAAGACCACACAAAGACAGTGGCAAACCGCAGTCCCTCAATAACATTGCACATTAAATTTTAACTATCGATCCATTTGTTAAGGATCAAATTTACAAATCACATTTGTAAAATGTGGCTACAATGAGCGCTGCTTCAGAACATAACCTTTGTCCAGTATCAAAGTATTAAAAATAGGAATAGATTTTATCCTTTCTGGCAATGCAACAGGAGTTGTGTTAAGATGTTTAAACACCAAATAGAAACCTTTTTGCAAGCATCACGTCTGAATTAGCCACAAACTACTTGTGCATTTCCAGTAGAACCTCGAAATTCGGAGGTCGAACGGGCAATGTCGACTTGACAGAACCTGTACGGCTGAGACACGTATGGCCAGCGTGCATGATGCTTGCCCAAAGGTTTAACCTCCTACTTCTCACCACCTTCCACTCAAGCCATCAACTCTCCTTACTACAGGTAAAGTGAAGTTCAATGTTCATTTATTTTATTTATTCCATATATTTATTCATTTATTCCATTTATTTATAGGTTTTTACCCTTTTGTCTGGCACCAAAACTCACACCTTTATACAAGGGATCATGTTTGCAATGACCACAACACAAGCAGTCAAAATGCAAACAAAAAGAGACAACTCTGATAATTATATGTACTGTCCTTGAAATTGATTGGTCCACACCCGAGACAGCTTTTCTTAGAGCCGAGTCTCCAATGATGTTGGACCAGATGACGCCAAAAGGCGTACAACTCAAAAACAGCGCACTATCAGAGTACTGAGAGCTCGGGGTAAGCATTTACATTATGAGACCTCCTTTGCCAGTAGCCTACCTATTACTATATCTTTCTACTGGCAAAGGTGTATGGTTGTATGCATGTAATTACTGTAAACTTCGTGTAAAATTCTTTAAAATGAGAGATTTCTTGTGTCTGGAACCAATTAATGTCATTTACATTAATTCTTATGGGGAAATTTAATTCGGTGTTCCAACAAATCGGTTTTCAAATGGCCTTCTGGAACGAATTAAGTTCTATCTCCGGGGTACCACTGTAACCACGACCACCACTCCTCGCCTCCGTTTGATGGGAAGACGAGCCCAAAGTTCCATAGGCATGTGTGTCTCGAGAAACAATGCATATATTATCAGAGCCATGTTTGTTTTCATTCATTGCAAAATGTTTCCATTTAGTGTTTGAACATCTTAACACAACTCCTGTTTAATTGACAGGAAGGGTAAAACCTGTTCTTATTTCTAGATTTGAAGCTTTCGTGACTGCAAGGATTCATACTCTTAGTTTTTTCGGTAAAGTCACGTAGGTAAAAAATTGAAATTAAAATCAATAAAAATAAAAAATAAATGTGGATTTATTATTTTATTTTTTATTAATTTTAATTTCAATTTTTTTCAGTAGCAAGATATAGTAATAGGTTGAAATTAAAATTAATAAAAAATAAAATAATAATTAAAAATGAGCTTTTTATTTATTTTATTTTTATTAATTTAAATCTTTTACCTACGTGACTTTACCGAAAAAACTAAGGGTACCTGTTCTTATTGTTCATGAGATTTACAAAGGTAAGGGAGGAAACGTTGGTTTGTTCTAAAACGTTGCTTGGTGCTGCAATGGTAAAGGGCTTCGTCACCCTCTTCCAATGTCATGTCAAGTTTTTGCAATCAGATGGACGTCTTGGGTTTCTTGGACAGTGGGGTTAATTGAATTAATTTTGTTGTGACGGTTCCACCTGAAGACGGAAGCTTGTGTTGCCTCCGAAACGTCGTGATTTGATTTATTTTCTCTTTTTTTTACCTACGTGACTTTACCGAAAAATCCAACGAGTATTAATTGAATTCACCGAGCACATCGCACAAATTTGCCAAGAACGGATGTTAGGGATGAACGGGGCACCAATGTATAATTATTCTCGCATCAAGTGATGCGAGATTGGACTTCAAGTAGAGGTCACAAAATGGCGGGTCCTGTATGCAACATCCAGTGCAAATCGAAGAGTAGAATGATGAAGCGGGTTTCGTCTGTTTAGTGATTCATCAGTAGCTGATCTATGAGTAGCATCACAGTAGTCAAACAGTGGGAGAATGATAGCTTCAACAATTTGCAGGTGCAATCAAATGGGGAAAAAAACGTCTGTTTCTGGAAATTTGATTTTTGTCGAGATGTCATCAGTATGAGGTTGGAATGTAAGTTTTGAATCAATCAGGTAAAACCAAATACCTCCAATTAGCACGGTTGGCTCTGAACGGTAAAATGTTCAACATGCAACACCCGTCATTCGTGACTAAGATGCGGTGACGTCACCACAGTGCCTGTGTCAGGACAGGTGCCATTTGAGGCCATGGGAAATATCGAAAGGTCGCTGACTGGAGGTCAGGGGACAGACCCATGGGTTGACTGACTGAGATGACTGGCAGATGCACCACCTCTGTCCCCTACTGTGCCAACTTGCTGTATTTTAGCTGCCCGGCGCTCCGCTCGTTGTTACGAGCGTTGCTCCTCTGCCCTCCGTTGTTGTTGGAGGACGACTGCTTCCAACTGCCCAGTAGCGTCCTTCACGAGCCTCCTCCACAGAGGCCGATCTTGACAATTCTGGTACCAGTCATCGGCCAGTCCACTCAGCTCCACATCCTTCCAATCCACATCAGACCATCTCTTCTCCAGCCCATGTCGTGCCTATTTAGCCCCCTCTATGTGGCCAAACAGACACTGCTTGGGCATGCGGTGGCTGGGCATTCGGGCTACATGACCCAGCCAACGCAGCCTTGCATTCCGGAGCATCTCACTGAAGGAAATGTGTCCAGATGTTTCAGGATTTGTGAGCTCCTCACACAAACCAGCCTAGTTAAACCCAGGATGGACCATAGGCTGGCCAGCCTGAATTTTTATAACCAGTGCAGATGTTACATTAGAGGGCTCCACGTTTCACAAGCATAGAGAAGGGAGAGGATGACTGTGGACGAGAAGACCCGAAGCTTTATGTGGAGTGACAGATTAGTCCGTCAACCCATGGCACCTGGGTCTGTCCCGTGACCTCCTCCTGCACTTCATGTGGCCTCAAAGTGCACCTTGCCTGGCACAAGAGCGATTGTGATGTCACCACCACTCAGTGGTAAACGGCGGTTGTTATTGTTAGATGAGTGGGTGAGTGTGTCGGTGACTGAGTGAATGAGGTAAGTGAGTGAATGAGTGGGTGGGTGAGTGGGTGGTTGAATGAGAAGATGAGCGAGTGTGTAAGTTGGTGAGTTGGGGAGTGAGTGGGTGGGTGAGTATTTGTGTTATTCTAGGTGTTAAAATGCATGTTTGTATATCGTAGAGTCATTAGCGCATTGCGCTACAAACCCGTCGACTGAGTTCGATTCCCGTTCATGGCCAATACCAGTGATGATTATCTGACTCCATCTTGGGCCTCCCCTAGATTTCCTCAGCCACAAATGAGTACCTAGTGCCATGTGCAAACATCGCTACTTGGGAGACAAATGCGGCGTGATGTTGATCATTAACCCCGCTTTTGTGCCATTCCGGCCTTCATAGGTGCTGTTACTCGCTAGCAGCACTTGCCCCAACAGTCTGTTAAAGCTACAGGGTGATCTTTATCTTCATAGAAAAATCGGTGTTAGTGCGAGGGGCTGTTAATCCCTCCACCTGTCACTCATTTGTACGAATTAACTATGCTGGAAACACCAAACAAAGCTTGTGCTGGAGGGCCATGGGGAGAATAGGCGTCTGGGGATGCCTTTTGGCAAAAAACCCATTTGTCAGAGCCACACACTACCCCTCCCCTCAGGGTTCTTCCAGAAACAGAAATCCTGAAGTTACGCATGTGGAATGTCCGAACACTCACTGCGGAAGAAAGGCTGCCATTCCTCTGTCAGGAGCTTGACCAGTGCCGCTTGAACCTCTGGTGTATACTGGAGGTTTGGTTCGGGCTCCGGTCGCCATGAGGCACGGACAGTTATCCACTCGAGGGGTAGGACACTGCCAAACAATGGGGAGTGGCACTTCTGAGAAAAAGAATGAAGGGGGGAGACGTGGGAGCGTGGAGACGAGGTGTGGGAAGCTGCGAGTCCCAGGCTATTGTCAGCTCGCTTCCCCATCAATGGGAGGTGAGGAATGGTGGTGGTTGCTCATGCTTCCTCCCAAGTGGGAGGATGCAGGCAAATTCGACGAGTCAGATGCCTTCTTCAACCTCCTGTCCCAGGTGCTGGCTAGAGTATCTCCTCGTGAGAGTCATCCTGTTGGGTGACTTTAAATGCCCGAGTGGGTCATGATGCAGACACCTGGGACGGAATGAATGGAAGGCATGGGCCAGATCAGCTCAATAATAACGGCAGGAGGCAACTAGACTTATGTGCAGCTCATGGACTTGTAATCCCCAATGTGCCGTTCCGGCATCAGCACTTATCTACACTGAAACCCACAATAGCCTGGTCTCAGCAGCCAGTGGATATCTGTGGAAAAAAGAGCTTGATAGCTCATCGGATTTCTCCAGGATAAAGATAGATTCTGATTCTGAGCCGATGAAGATTGCATGCGAGAAAATGGATCACCGCTTGCGACTGGGGTTGGCATCGTCCATCCCTCCTCGGGATGCCGAGGGGGTAATGGGTGGGGTTTCAGGCCAGCAACTCATTTAGCTGCTATGGCTGCATTGGGTATGCGGTCCAGAAACTCCCCAGAGACCATGGCTGACAGAGAAGGTGTTCCGGCTGGCTGAGAGAAATTGACAGTGCCCACTCCCACCGCCGACAATAAGCCACGTCCAAGAATGAGGAGGCTGACCGCAGCCTTCGCTCCGAGGTTCGGAAAGCTGTGGAGATCCAAAGGTAGTCGCGGGTTGCTGAAAAATTGCAAACTTTCCTTGGTAGCATGCAATCAGCAATGACTCTTTGAATCCATAAAAAAAAGCTACTCGCAGCAGTGAGTAAGTGGGTGGGTGAGTGAGTGGGTATGTGAATGGGTGGGTGAGTGGGCGAATTAGTGGTTTAGTGAGTGGGTAGGTGAGTGCATAGGTAAGTGGGTGGGCGAGTGAGCGAATGGGTAGGTGAGTGAGTGGGTTGGTGTGTGGGTTGGTGAGTGGGTAGGTGAGTGGGTAGGTGAGTGGATGGGAGAGTGGGTGAGTGAGTGGGAGGGTGAGTGGATAGGTGACTGGGCAGGTGAGTGAGTGGGTGGGTGAGTGGGGGGGTGAGCGGGTGGGTGAGTGGGTGAGTGGGTGGGTGAGTGGGTGGGTGAGTGGACGGATGAGTAGGTGAGCGAATGAGTGGGTGAGTGGGTTGGTGAGTGGGCGGATGAGTAGGTGAGTGAGTGGGTGGGTGAGTGGGTGGGTGAGTGAGTGGGTGAGTGGGTGAGTGGGTGGGTGAGTGGGGGGGTAAGCGGGTGGGTGAGTGGGTGGGTGGGTGAATGGGTGGGTAGGTAGGCGAGTGAGTACCCTGCATCTTGCGCTTCATGGGCACGGATCACGCACAGGAGTCCGTTGTTCTGCAGGAACTCACACACGGCCGGGTAGCTGCATAACACACACAAAGACAAAGATCCCCCGTGTAGCCTTAACAGAATGTTGGGGCAAGTGTTGTTATCAAGCACCTATAAAGACCGGAACGGCACATGAGGGGGTGCGTGGCCAGCACCATGCAAGGCCGCCTTTGTCTCCCCCGTGGCGATGTTTTTACACATCACACCAGGTACTCAATTGAGGCTGAGTCGCCCTCGGGGAGGAGGCTCAAGACAGGTTCACATAATCGTCACTGGTGTTGGCCTTGAGCGAGAATTGAGCGCGGGTCGTCATATTTGTAGCTAACTACTACACTATCGCTCCCCACATACATACACACGTAAACGCACACTCACATACAGATACGTATATTCCACAAGTCTCTCTCTGTCCCACTCTCTGCCCCTTGCTGTGTATGCTGGGAAGTGGGCGTGTCTCTGTGGTGCTCCCGTGGTGTCTGTGCATGTGGCCCGGTTTGTCTCAGCAATCCTGAGCTCACCTGACACAGTCACCTCACATTTGGTGGTTGATTGTGAACATCTTCAACTCGTGGGAGATTTTTTCCAAGATGAAAGTATGAAAAATAATGAGCGTTTTACCCTTTCTGGCAACAAAACAGGTGTTAAGCTAGTGAGTCGATGTATGTTGAACTTCTCTCACACCGTACATAGCCAACCGTGCTAATTGGAAGGTGGGTGAGTGGGTCAGTCTCTGTGCTTACCCCCCCCCCCCGCCCCCTCCCTCCCATCACCCCCTCACACCTGTAGAAGTAGGAGCACCCACGCACGCTGTTATAGGTGAAATGCTCCTGGGTTTTCTCGCTCCCAAAGTCCTCGAGGGGATCCGACCACAGGAGGTCGCAGACCGGGCCGTAGGCCGGAGGCTCTCGGAACCTGTCCAGCTGAAAGCGGGGGGAGGGGGAGAGAGAGGAAGGGAGAGGGTGGGGAGGGAGAAGTGGGGTTTAACACACAGCTCCTAAACCAGTGGTTCTTAACTTTCAGTGCAGCCTTGCACCCTCTTTGCTTCTCAATAGTTTAGAAAATAAAGTATAATGTTAATAAATACATAGGGTTTCATGAAACAAAGTAGTTGTACTTACGTGCCCTGTGCTTCATTCGAATGATTTACCATCTAAAAAAAAAATGATCCAGCCATGTCTCGTATCCCCAGAAAGGGCATCTCACACCCCCATGGGGTGCGGGCACTCCAGGTTAAGAAGAACCACTGACCTAGGCTAATCACCCCTTTAAACTTCCTTTTTTTTCCTTCTTTCTTTGCATCTTTTTGCGATACTTTCATCCTTCTACGGTGAGTTTTTATTTGATTTGATACACCTTTTTTTGTTTTACGGACATGTCTTTTTGCCGTTCCGTCCCATGTTCTCTTCTGCTCCAATCAGCACCCGTGTCCTGCGTTCTACAAATCCTCAGTTAACTTTAGAGGTGCATGTTTTTCAACGGGTAGACTTAACTTGACTCCTATGTTTGTCGTGGTCAAATCTTGCAATCAAAATTTCGCCCACTTCCCGTTGCCCAATCAATTCCACATTTTTCACACGTACTCAGATCCGGTGACAATGCATGCCTGTATCAAAATCGGCATCAATTAATCAATTAATTCGCTACTTTACAGAAATAACATTTTGTACGGACGCCTTATTATTTATATTTATCTGTGTAGCTCAAAAACGCCGCGGTCCCTAAACTCTGGAATCGCCTCGCCCAAGAAGCAGGCGCCACGTGTCTCAGGCGCGCCTGCTTCGTGTGAACGAATGTTGATGTGGGAGCAGGCGCTGCATCATTGACGCACTTCTCAACCGCGAGTTAAACGAAGCTGTTCATAAAAACGTTGTTTTAAAAAAAGAAACTTTTCTTAAGGAGTTTTTTTGTTTTGTTCCCCACTTCTGTTTGTGTTGAGAAACATTTTTGGGGTTTGCTCCACGTTGCGAGGATCTTCGTTTGCACTGCACCTCACGAGTTTCCGAGAGTTCAGCGCAGCCGGCACTGTCGCAGTGCACCTGCAGCAACAGTGCACCTTCGGCTAGCACAGTTGGCTACGTACCGTGCGAAAGAAGTTCAACATACAGATATACCATACACTACTCTACATGCCATACATTACCTCCCATGAGCATGGCTGGCTACGCACGGTGAGAAAGAAATTCAACATACATACATACTATACACTACACTATGATACAGGGTGCTTACATTTTTTTCCACTTATAAGGGACTATCTTTTTAAATGGAAATAGAATGGATAATACACTTTTCGATTTAAAGCTTTCGTGACTGCAGGGATTCATCTTCTTGGTTCTTTCGGTAAAGTCACGTAGAAGGGAAGTAATAAAATTATAAAAATAAAACATAATAAAATAAAATAATTCTCACGACGTTTCGGCTACAACGCAAACCTGAAGACGGCTGCTTGCGTTGTAGCCGAAACGTCGTGAGAATTATTTTATTTTATTATGTTTTATTTTTATAATTTTATTACTTCCCTTCTACGTGACTTTACCGAAAGAACCAAGAAGATGGATAATACACTGTAACATGATAACAAATTGTATGTTAATACTGGTAGGAACCTCCTGGTTACACCAGCCCACAGAGGATTATTGTGTCCGTCCGTCCGTCCGTCCGTCCGTCCGTCGTGCAGGGAGGGGCTGGGTGGTGAGGGTGGGGCTGGGTGTGGAGGGGAGGGTGGGGAGGGGCTGGGTGGAGAGGGTGGGGAGGGGCTGGGTGGGGAGGGTGGGGCTGGGAGGGGCGGGGCTGGGTGGAGAGGGGCTGGTCACCCCGTGGTGCCCTTATAAAACTCAACGTTTAACCTACTTACGCCGGCTTGTGCCCGACCCTCACAGTCGGGCATATTTCCGGAATACACCACGCCGCCATTGACCCTGGCCATTGACTGAGCAACCCAACGTTCCTACCAGCTCCCTCCGCAGGAATGTGTTAGCTTCAAAAACTCAAAGTCTCCACTTGTTTCGCCATCATTGTCAACACTTGTCCGGAGGCACATTTCTTGTGGTACTGCTGCAAATTCTCGGAAGTGTTAACATTTTTTTTTAAGCACCCTGTATACTACACTATACACTCCCTCCGATTAGCATGGTTGGCTATGTACGATGCGAAAGATGTTCAACATACACACTCAACAATCTCCTCTTCGGACCCCTTCTTTATAGGTTTGCGTGCGTACACATAAAGCCTCTCTGTTATTGCAAGCACAGCAGAACCCCTCTTAACAACGGTAATTGGTTCCACAAAACCGGTCGTGAAGTGATTTGGTCTTCGAGTATAGGAAATACACGTTAAAGGCTCAATTTAAATCTTGACTTAAAGCTTTCGTGACTTGGAGGAATTCATATTCTTTGGGTCTTTCGGTAAAGTCACGTGGATAGGTTGAAAGAAAATAACAAAAAATTACGACGTTTCGATCACAACACAAACGACCGCTTGTGTTGTGATGGAAACGTCATAGTTTTTTGTTATTTTCTTTCAACCTATCCACGTGACTTTACCGAAAGACCCAAAGAATAAGGCTCAATTTCTTCCGATAGCATCGAATGGTGCACCTTTTGACCCAAAAAACGTACTTTATAATACAGGTAGTCCTCTACTTACGATGGAGATGCGTTACGACGACCCCATCGTAAGTCAAAAATATCGTAAGTCGAAGATGGCCGAGCCTACCCAGGAGTCTTAAAGAATGGTGATAATTTAGCAAAACAGAGCAATTAACAGTACCGTACTGTATAAACTATATGCTGTATGTATTTATTTAAAAAAATTACACGTGCTAACACCGAGACAACTTAACTCCGTCGACCGCTGGTGAGAGTGAGGCATCACACAAGGCAGGAGATGCGTACATCCCGGCAGCGTCCCAACGTACAGTATCGAACCTCGTACGCTGCTGCGTTTGCCTGCCGCGCAAATTTTAAAATATTTAACAATTTTGTTGTATCGCTATTGCCACCGTAAGATCGAAATATCGTAAGTCGGACCATCGTAACTCGGGGACTATCTGTATTTAAACAATGGATACCAATACATTAAGATACTCATCGAGCGCAAGACCAAAGGCAGAGATGGAGCAGTGGTGGCGAGGGGAGGGAATGACAAAGTGGAAACCCCAATGGGTGGCTCAAGGCAGAGCCCCTAACCACAGAGCCCACGTGAGTTGGCAGCAGTAGGTCCCAATCCATCTCAATGTGCTGCCATGGCGACGGCGGTTCAGTCAGCCACCCCCGGCCACCTTTAAAAAAGTTGGATCCCTCTGGAGAGGACATCCGTACACGACTCGTCCTTCCTTAAACTCAGGATCTAGTGGGGATAAGGATTATTCATTTAAAGACCTCCCAAATTTGTAAGCGGACAGTGCAACCCACACCGAGGGGGCAGAAGAGGATAATAATCGTGGCGAAGGTGGGGATTTGTTCTTGAGTCAACATTCTCACACCTCCTCTGGGGTTGCAACATTGTTTGCACCAGGGTTTGGTCACCCAACGTGGTTTGACCAAGCTGAAGTGGTACCGGGAAGTGCCCTCAATGTAAAAAAATAAGACACAAGGATCCATACTCTTTGGTTCTTTTGGTAAAGTCACGTAGATGAAAAATAAAAATAATAAAATAAAAATAACTTAATTTAGTTATTTTCATTTTATTATTATCCTTGCAGTCACGACAACTTCAAATCTAGAAAAAAGACACAAGGACCTCATTAATTCTAGATTTGAAGCTTTTGTGACTGCAAGGATTCATATGCTTCGTTTTTTTTTCGGTAAAGTCACGTAGGTAAAAAATTAAAATTAATAAAAGTAAAATAAAATCACGACGTTTCGGAGGCAACACAAGCTTCCGTCTTCAGGTGGAACCGTCACAGCACGATAGCTGTATCAAGTAAAACTTACCTGATACAGCAATCGTGCTGTGACGATTCCACCTGAAGACGGAAGCTTGTGTTGCCTCTGAAACGTCGTGATTTTTATTTTATTTTTATTTTACTTTTATTAATTTTAATTTACATTTTTTACCTACGTGACCTCATTAATGTCTACGCACCAATCAATGAACATTACAAATGGCGGGTGCTTCACTTTGGGAGGTGATTACAATTACACAATGTATGTTGTTCTCGACCACACTGGAGCTGAACAATGCAACAGCGATATCTTGAATGCTTTGCAGGATCTGCTTCGCGTATACGCTCTGACTGACGTGTGGCAGACAGCAAGGGTTTTACCGTCACGACAGGTCGAGTTGACAGAACAGTGTTGCAATCAAGGATCGACCGATTTTACACTTCAAAATACCTTGGAAATAATGCTGTTGCATCAAGTATCAGGGCTGCACCGCTGGCAGACCATAAACTCATTATGCTTCATGCGAAGATACAAGGAGTCCCATGGGGATCTGCAAACTGGCATTTCCATGATGCCCTTTTGGAAGACGCCATCTTCACTAATCTCTTTGAGAACGGTGTGACTCAAATGCCTGGGGAAGTACGCAATGAACCGACAATGATATTTTTAGATTTAAAGTTTTCGTGACTGCAGGGATTCATATTCTTGGATCTTTCGGTAAAGTCACGTAGAAGTGAAATAATAAAATATTAAAAATAAAACATAATAAAATTCTCACGACGTTTCATTAGGACGCTGTCTTTCCGACAGCTCTGTTTCTTCACCTGAGGGCCGGCTGCTTGTGTTGTGGCCGAAACGTCGTGAGAATTTTAATGTTTTATTTTTAATATTTTATTATTTCCCTTCTTCGTGACTTTACCGAAAGATCCAAGAACATGATATTTTTGATACTGAGAGCACGGTCTGCAGCATAAAGCAAAGGTGGAGGATTGGGGACATCCAGGCCTACCACATGGTGAACAATTAATGTCTAAAAGAATTTCAGAAAGAGAAGGCAAAAAGGGGCATTGATACGCTCACGGTTTAAATACACCCTTGACAAGAACTCTGGCTCAACACTTTTCTTCTCATTAGGGAAGCCAAATGGTTTCCCTATTCGCCACTAGGTGGCGGTGAGGTCACCACGGCGCTTGTGCCAGGCTAAGTGCAGTTCAAGGCCACGTGAAGTGTCGAACGCCCGCTGGCAGGAGGTCACGGGGTAGACCCAGCAGGTTCCATGGGTTGACTGACTGAGATGACTGGCCGATGCACCACTTGTGCCCTCTACTATGCCAACTCACTGTTTTTTAGCCACCCGGCGTTGATTACAATGGGGTCCGTGTCCTCAAACAATGATCAAATAGCCCCAAAAGTTTCTCAATACTATAATAATCTCTTTTCCCCAGAGTGTATATCTACACATACCCAATAGGACATCTGGAACGATTTTCCTCTGTTGGGCGAAAAAGAGGGAATAATTCTTGACGTAGGTAGAAAAGAGTGACCTAAGACATGGCCGTGAGCACTCTGGCCAGAAACAAATCGCCAGGGATTGAAGGACTAACAGGAGAGTTTTATCAGCATTTTTGGTACTCCTTGCGGAAAAGACTACAACGATGTTCTAGAGGAAGCAGTGGAGAGTAACATGATGCCTCAACAGAGGTCGCAACCAGGTACCCGATACCCGTACCCCTACCCGATACCCGGCTACTCGTATCCGGCCGGATACGGGTACAGGTAGCCGTTTGCGACCCTGGTGCGGCCGGGTACAGGTACGGGTAGACCGTGAGTCACTGGTGAGTAACTGTTTGTCACTCATTTCCCAACGTCTTGTCTCTTCTCACAATTCAAGTTCCTAGAATCAACCCACCCGCGCCTGCAACATGGCTTCATCCCAGAGGTCGCAATCAGGTACCCGATACCCGAACCCTACCCGTACCCGGCCGGGTACGGGTAGGGTACGGGTAGAGCCGGGTACGGGTACCCGTTTGCGACCGTGGTGCGGCCGGGTACGGGTACGGGTAAGGAATCAAAACCCGTTTGCGACCTCTGTGCCTTAATCCTGGAGGAGAGCAGTGTTTAGACTGGCGTCCAGGTCTCAAGTGCTGTGCACAGATTATATGATTCTAGCTAAGGCTGTGTCCGCAAGGCTTAAACGGGGGGTTTTTGGCTCAGGTTAAAGGCAATTACCAGTCATGCACTGTTCCAGGGAGGACCACTGATGATGGGATTTTCCTAGTCAGAGATCTAATCACTCGGTCTGAACTTTCCGCTGGCTTTACTCTCCCTTGATCAAGAGAAATACTTTGACAGGGTTGACCATGGGGAATCTACTCGGCACTCTTAAAAGCTTTTGGATTTGGAGCTAACTTAATACAAATAATCGATTTGCTTCATAACACGTCCCAGTGTGTCATCAAAGTTAACATGGCACTAACTGCTCCTATATAACTCAGCCGAGGTATCAGACAAGGCTGTCTGTCCTATGTCATGGCAGCTCTACAACCTCGTCGTGGAACCTATTCTGTATCAACTTCGATGAAGACTCACCTTGCTTAAAACTCTGAAGGAGCCCAGTATAAAATTGACTCTCTCAGCAGACGCTGACGACATTCTCCTCCTCTTACAAGGCTTCGACAATACTGAACGGCTCCACGGGTGCCAAGAGATATATTCTCGTGCGTCCTCCAGGATGAATTGGCAGAAATGCAGTGGGCCCACTCAAGGGACAGTGGGAGAAGCCCAGTTCCCTGCGATAGCCAAAGCAATCGCGGAGAGAAAAGGGATGCCTTCAACATCTTGGCGTGCTCCTGGGGCCTGGAGATAAACGGCTGCAGAGTAACTGGGATACTTTGAAAGAAAGGGTGAGGGAACAACTGGAACCTTGGGGGCGCCTGTGTAAAACCTTCACGTTTGGAGGGAAAACCCTGGTCATGAACCAGCTGGTTGCTTCCGAAATGTGGCACCGCTTTTTTTCCCCTCGTTTCGCCGGCTCATCTGATCGGCAAGCTTCAGAGGAGGTCACCTCATTTCTGTTGGTCACATAGGAGGCACCGTGTGGCCACTGCCGGAGTCTTAGGCTTTGTCACTGCGGGGAAGCGGGCAAAGTCTCGTGTGTGTACGGAGTCAACTGTCCACCTTTCGCTTGCTAGCCGTGCAAAGTTTTCTGTACACAGCCCCATCACTCACGTGGTATCCCACACCATCTTATTTTCTCAGTAACCTGGAGGGGGGCGCAGTGCAGCAATTCTAAATTAATATCATGGGTACCCCCGCTAACGCAGATTTCCAATTTTTACACGAGTGTCCTACAGGCCTGCAGTTTGCCCCCGTCACTACCCGAGTGAATAAACCCCGGTCTGCATCAGACCTCACTCTCGAACAGCTTTTGCGGAATCCAGACACGGGACTAACCCTCTCTTGTGGGCTTAGCCATTGAGAAGCGTTACCTTCGATATGCATCTCACTAGGGTAGGCGATCTGGTGAAACCGGGCAAACATAGTCAGTGGCTTCTCTCTACTCAGATGGCTGCAATGATGGGACTGCATTCAATAAGAATCGCCGAAAAAATTGCGGAAGTCTCGCTCAAAAGCAGTGGGGGGGAGGGGGGGGTGGGGCACGTCCGCCATGAGTGTTGGTGACGTGTCAGCTCCTGGTAGTCCCATGTTACCGGAGCCGACTGTCGAGTCGGCAAGAAAAGTACCCACTTCCTTTTTTCGCAGAGTGTCCGGGAAGAGCACTTCTCAAAAGTAGAACGAAATCAACTGTACGCTCGTGTGTTTTGCTTCCATCATCAACAAGTATGAAGGTCGCGCAAAAGACCACGCTAGGAGAGACTCTATGCCCTGCAGCGATCGTGTAACCCTCACTGGGAGCTGTTCTACCCTAGCCCATCATCTCACCGCCAGGGTGACCTGAGCTGGAGCATTGCCCACGGTACGGTGACCACAAATACTTTTCTGGCACACTTCACAGGACACCAAGCCAGAATGTTTATTCCGTGGTGAAATCGAAACAGTTGCCTATCAGTGTTTACATTGTAAAAGCCTCAACTCGCCTTTTTAAGCTCCTACGTAATATCTTGCTGAAACTGAAACTTAATTTCTCCCCAACGATTCTTATTTTTGGATTTAAGGGGAATGGCAGACAAAGATATAGGAGAGGGCTTGGTGAACTTTGTCAGAAACAATGCCAAACTGGTGATATATAGGGCCAGAAAGTGCACATATTGAATTAAACGGCTTAGCCAGCCACTGTCGCATCTTCAAGGTTCTGGTTTCTGCCAAATTTGACTGGAATTTCGCCACGCTCAGTTGACGGGGGGTGTTCAATCTTTTTTTAGATGTTGGACTGTAGAGGGTGCCCTGTTTAATGTGATTGATGGGAGGAGATCAAGCAATGAGTTTTTGGGAGTGGTTTTTTTTTTGTATCTGAACACAGTACACAATGGAACTAATGTTACATGGGAAAAGGCGTAAATATGTTAGATTTTTCACGTAAAAACGTCCATAAAAGCCAAAAAAAGTTCAAAGCAAAAGAAATGACGCGATAAACGAAACAAAGGGCCAACTAACTGAGCATCTTGGTTTCTTCTGATCGTAAAAAAGGGAGGCGAGGGAGGGAGGGAAGGGCGCGTCGGTTTCAGGAACCCACAGCAGTGACCTCGTGAGCGACCTCATGAGCGACCTCGTGAGCGACCTCGTGAGCGACCTCGTGTGCGACCTCGTGAGCGACCTCTTGAGTGACCTCGTGAGTGACCTCGCGAGCGACCTCGTGAGCGACCTCGTGAGCGACCTCGCGAGCGACCTCGTGTGCGACCTCGTGAGCGACCTCGTGAGCGACCTCGTGTGCGACCTCGTGAGTGACCTCGTGAGCGACCTCGTGAGTGACCTCGTGAGTGACCTCGCGAGCGACCTCGTGAGCGACCTCGTGAGTGACCTCGTGAGTGACCTCGCGAGCGACCTCGTGTGCGACCTCGTGAGTGACCTCGTGTGCGACCTCGTGAGTGACCTCGCGAGCGACCTCGTGTGCGACCTCGTGAGCGACCTCGTGTGGGACCTCGTGAGCGACCTCGTGAGCGGGCCGATGGCCCCGGCGAGAGCTGAACTCACCCTGCGGATCTGGTCGAGGGTGTGGAGCTCCGGGGATAGCCCCCCGTGGACGCAGAGGAACTGCTGATTCATCACCGCCGCCAGCGGGAGGCAGTCAAACGCCTCCATGCAGGCATCATACACGCGGTCAGAATACTTGATACGGCCTGTGGAGCGCCACGTGCAGCAATCGCGCACACAGAGACACAGACAGGCATCGCACACAAGCAGAGACTCTCTCCGTGTCTCCCACCCCCCGTGTCTCCTCCCTGTCTCTCCCCCCCTCCCCACCCCGTGTTTCTCCCCTGTGTCTACTCTCCATGTCTCCCCCCCGTGTCTCCCCCCTGTGTCTCCTCTACATGTCTCCCCCCCCGTGTCTCCCCCCTGTCTCTCCACCCTGTGTCTCCCCCCCGTGTCTCCCCCCCGTCTCTCCACCCCATGTCTCCCCACCGTGTCTCCCCACCACACATCTCCCCCCCCCCCCCCCCCCCCCCCCGTGTCTCCACCCCATGTCTCCCCACCGTGTCTCCCCACCACACATCTCCCCCCCCCCGTGTCTCCTCCCCGTGTCTACCCCCCGTGTCTCCTCCTCGTGTCTCTTCCCCGTGTCTCCTCCCCGTGTCTCCACCCCCGTGTCTCCCCCCTGTCTCTCCACCCCGTGTCTCCCCGCCGTGTCTCCCCCCGTCTCTCCACCCCGTGTCTCCTCCCCGTGTCTACCCCCCGTGTCTCCTCCCCGTGTCTCCTCACACTCCTGCTTGAAGGTGAAGTACTCTGTGAGGTGGCGACACTCGTGGTTCCCGCGGAGCAGAAAGAGGCTTCCAGGGTAGAGAATCTTCAGCGCCCAGAGATACAGCACGCACTGCGCTCGCCAGAGATATACACACACAGCGATATACACATGGAGATATACAGAGAAATACACAGATATGCACTGCGACAGAGAGATACACACGGAGATACACAGGTCTGGCACACAATGCGCTCCCACATAGGTACACACGGAGGCATACAGAAAGACACGCAGAGATATGTAATGCGGTTGTAAACGGCCCTTCTGAGGTGCCGTCAGGGGGGGAGGAGTTAGGTCACGTGGGGGGAGAGGGGTTGAGTATAGAAGGAGGGGAACCGGAAGAGCAGGGGGAGTGACGGGGAACCAGGAACAGAGGAAGGCCACGAAGGGCGAAGCGGGGTGTGGCGAGATCGCCACGAACACGGGGGGAGCGAGGATCGGCACCGTTGGCCAGCGGTGACCGACCCGAAGCAGCGAGGAGGCTGCAGTCAGCAGCGGGGCTGCACAGAGAGAGTGGGCAGCGGGTCTGCATACAGTGACAGCCAGAGGGTCTGCACATAGGGGTGGCAGCAAGTCTGCAGGGAGGAGGTTACAGTAGATGAAGCAGAGAGTCAGAGGGGTGAGGAAGCTATAATAGCAGTGAATAGCCGGGGGCTACAAATACAGGAGTTATAACAGAGTGCCGTGTGGGTAAAGACGTGAACCTGAATAAAGACACGAAGACAGAAAGAAGTGTTCGAGTCCTTTTATTACACTGGAGTCAGAAGTGAAACGGCATGGCGAAACAACTGAGGAAGAAGAATATCCCATCTCCGGCGTCGGCTTCATCATCGGACGACGACGATCTTCCTCCTGAGGTCGGCTTCACTTCGGCGGAGGGAGAGATCCGTGAGGGCCCGGGTGTGGAGGAGGTTGCCGCTGCGCCCGACCCATCTGCGTTGAAGGACGAAGATTTAAGATGGACCCGGATGGCGGAGCAACTGGCGACCCTAAAAACCGTCATCACGGAGTTGTGTGACCTTGTCACGCCAAGGGCGGCGTTGGAAGGTGATGGTGGTGATCGGCAGGAGCCCGGGTCGTCTTCGATGGCGCCGCCATCGACCACGCGGCGTGAAGACGCCATCTTGGGCGTGGCGCACCACGGAAGGCGGGAAGCCGCCATCTTGGGGCCGCCACGAAGATCGTCCGCCATCTTGGCGACACCGCGTTGCGACGCCTTGCTGAACTTGCCGCCGGAAGAGTCGGTGACGGACGGAAGCAGGCCAAGGAGCCGCAGTCGTCACCTTACAACTGTTAAGGAGTTCTCCATCGGGGGCGATTGGAGTGCGTTCGCTTGTCGATTTTTGGCGGCGGTACGAACGGCAAGGTGGACGGACGCCGAGGCGCTGGAGGTGCTTCCGACTCTCCTTGACGATGAGTCTGTTCGTTTTTTTCGCTCTATAAAAGCTGCGAAGAAGAAAACATTGCGTGGAGTGTTCGACGAAATGGCGGACGCGTACGAGCCACCGGATGACGCCCATCGCCGCTTCGTGCAGCGGCAACGCGCACCGGAGGAGTCGCCTGTAGCGTACAGGGGCGCCGTGCTGGAACTCGCGATGGCCGCTTACCCGGAGACGGAGCCTGACCTGCTGGAACCTCTCATCTTGGGGAAGATGTTGGAGTTATCCCGGGATCTGGGCATTCCTATGCCGGCTTGCGGTCACGAGAAACTCACGTCCCGGACCGCGGCTAAGTGTTGGACGCCCAGTTCAATCTCCGCCGCTGGAAACAAGTCACGGCGTGGACGGGCGGTCCTGTCGTCGATGGGGGGGCCGTAGGGTGGGACCCTACAAAGGCCGTGTACGTGCCGGATGCGACCGGCCCAAAGGAGCTGTCGGCCGCCTCCACTCCGTGGCCGGCTCGAAGCGAGCCGGGGCCGCGGGCTCCGCCGCCGGCGCGGCCACGTCGGGACGGGGTGCCTGCTGCGCGCCGACCCGACGTCGACTGTTTCCGCTGCGGCCGTCGGGGCCACTATGCCAGGGACTGCTGGGCCCGGGTTCCGGGGCCGCCCCAGCAGGAGGCCTCGATCGCGGACGTCCCAAAGAAAGACCCTCCGGCACAGGCAAGTCGGTGCGCACCAGACACCCGGCAAGGCCTGACACCTCACTCATCGCCGTTGTTGTGCGACGCGGATGTTCTAAAATATGGGAGGCCAGTATCTGCGCCTTGTCGCTCGATAACGCAGTGGCGTAAGTTGGCTCGGCGGGTTGTCGCGGCCGCTACAGGTTCGTCCACTGTACCGGGGTCGATCCAAGGGGTGGACGTGCGTATTTTGGTGGATTCCGGGGCGTCCGCGACCATTATTTCGGATGTCATATTCCATCTTTTGAACATCCCACCGGGGGCCGTGAGGCCGGCTTACGCTTCCTGCATCGCTGCGAACGGGGGTAGTATGGGCATCGTGGGACAGGTGGACGCTAATATTTCTATCGGGGGGGTCTCGGCCTCGGGCGTTGTGTTAATTTCGAGGTCCCTGGCGGTTCCTTGCTTGTTGGGCACGGATTTTTTGGCTAAGATGCCCATTTTAATTAGAATCAATGAAAATTGCATTGAACTGCCAGGGGGCCGCAAATTGGCGTTTTTACAGTCCACCTGGGGGCGACCGGCTCCGGTTGCCCAGGTGCAGGCGTTATCGGAAGTTTCAGTTGATATTCCACCTGGCTCGCAGATGCTCATTCCCCTACGATACCGGAAGCCGGTTCCGGGTCGGCAGAGTGCTTGTGGAATTTTGCTGTCGCCGTCCGCCGCTGTTACGGGCGGATTGGCACTGGTGGGGGCGCAAACCATTGTCCGTCCGGATCAGCGCCCGTTTTTGCAGGTGTTAAATGCGACTTCTGAAAGCGTGTGTGTGCCGGCTGGTACCGTTGTGGCACACGCCACTACGGCGTTTACGGCTCAGAGTGACATTCCGGACGGGGGGCTGGTGGGTGGTGTTTCACACGACGGAGGGGTGGACGATCGTTGGATCGCCGAATTATGTGCGGAAAATTCGGCCCTTTCCGCTGAGCAGCGTTGTGCGATTCATAAATTATTAGCGAGCTATTCCGATGTGTTTAGCTCGGACGATTTGGACTTGGGACGCACCTCGCTGCTCTCTCATCACATCGAAACGGGGGACGCGGCCCCTATCTGCTTGAACTCGCGTCGGATGAGTCCGGCTGAGCGTGAGCACGTTCGAGGGGCAGTGGAAGACATGTTGAAAGCGGATATTATATCTCCGTCTAATAGCCCGTGGGGTGCGCCTGTCGTGTTGGTTAAAAAGAAAGATGGTAAATTACGATTTTGTGTGGATTTTCGGAAGTTAAATAAAGTGTCGGTGGCAGATGCGTATCCCCTGCCGCGTATGGACGATTCTCTCGACGCCTTGTCAGGGGCTAAGTTTTTTTCAACGCTAGATCTCTCTTCGGGCTTCTGGCAGCTTCCCCTTGACGAGCCCTCGCGGGAAAAGACAGCGTTCCGTACGCCGCAGGGGTTGTTCCAATTTAACTGTCTGCCGATGGGGTTGAATGCAGCCCCTGCCACCTTTCAGAGATTGATGGAGTTGGTATTGACGGGGTTGCAGTGGGAGACATGTCTCATTTATTTAGATGATATTATTGTCTTCAGCCGCACATTTGATGAGCATTTATTGCGGTTGGAGGCCGTTTTTGCCAGAATGCGTTCTGCTAATTTGAAATTCAAGCCTAAGAAATGTCATCTACTGCAACGTTCCGTTCGATACTTGGGACATATTGTTAGTGCGGACGGGGTGGCCACGGATCCAGAGAAAACTGCGTGTGTCCGGGATTGGGCAACCCCCGCCACGGTGGGTGATGTGCGTCGGTTTTTGGGGTTCGCCTCATATTACCGGAGGTTTGTTCCGAATTTCGCTACTATCGCCAGGCCTTTGCATCTCCTTACTGGGAAGGGGCACAAATTTGTGTGGGGACCGCCGGAGGAGGCGGCGTTTCGGAGCCTGCGCGACCTACTGGCTACTGCGCCGACGTTGGATTATCCGGATTTTGAACATCCCTTCATTCTGGATACTGATGCGAGTGACACCGGGATTGGGGCGGTGTTGTCCCAGTCAAAAGGTGGTGTTGAGCGTGTGGTGGCGTACGGGAGTCGGGTTTTGTCTCCCGCGGAAACTCGTTACTGCGTCACTCGCAGGGAACTTTTGGCTATTGTGTATTTTCTCCGCCAATTTCGACCGTATCTGTACGGTCGGTCGTTTATTGTCCGAACGGACCATGCGGCCTTGCAGTACGCTCTTAAGATGGACCAGCCATCCGGACAATTGGCGAGATGGCTGGACACGTTGCAAGAATTCTCCTTCCAAATTCACCATCGGAAGGGTGTGCGTCACGCTAACGCGGACGCACTGTCCAGGTTGCCGCAACAATCCCCTTGTGCGTGTGCGTCGGGGACGCATAGGTGTGGACCGGCTCAGCCCCCCCCTCAACCTGTCGCGCGGGCAGTGGATGTTCTCGAACCTCCGCTTACACCGGGACCGGTTGAAGGGGGACCGGCTGACGGGATTTTGCGTCTTCCAAGGTCTGTGTGGATTCGGGAGCAAATGTTGGACGATTCTTTGGTGTCGTTACGGAAACGAACGGAGAAGGCGGGTAAGGAAGTCGGTGCGGGTGGTAATTCGGAAACTGCTCTCCGAGATGGGTTACTGATGTGGAGGGAAGGGATACAGGAACACTGGCGTCTCGTTGTGCCTGCGTCATTGCGCTATGAGTTGATTCGATCTTTGCACTGTGACACACTTTTACACCTGGGGGTGCAGAAAACCCTATTGACGCTGCAACGAGACTATTATTGGCACGGCATGACGACGGATGTCGTCGGTCACGTTCGCGCGTGTCCCGATTGTGCCCGCCGTAAGCCGCCTAAACATCCATATGTTCCGCCGATACAATCGATTAAAGTATCTCGGGTTAATGAGTTGGTGGCGTTAGATATTTTGGGACCCTTTCCGCCATCAGCTAAAGGGAATAAGTATTTACTGGTGGGGGTGGAGTACCTCTCTCGCTGGCCGATGGCCTGGCCCTTGCCTGACCAGTCAGCGGCGTCTATCACGGACGCCTTTCTATTTGGGTATGTAATGGACAAAGGGGCTCCGGAGAGGCTCCTTACGGATCAGGGACGTAACTTTTCGTCTAAATTGTTGGGGGAGGTGTGTGCGGCTCTTGGAACTAAAAAGATACGGACGTCCCCCTACCACCCGCAAACGGATGGTATGGTGGAACGGTTGAATCGGACTCTGTCCGCCATGCTGTGCCATACAGTCGGGGAAAACCAATCTGATTGGGATTTGCATATCCCTGGGGTGCTTTCGGCGTATCGCATGACGCCGCACGCGGCTACTGGATACTCGCCGTTTTTCCTTATGTACGGCCGTGAGAACGTGCCGCCGATTCATGACCAGTTGGGAACCGGTGCGAGGGGGCCTGTTAAGCCTCTTCCTGAGTATATTAAGGACAACGTTCGGCGTGTCGCTGAGGCGAGGGAAAATGCCCGCATGGCTACTGCCAAGGCTCAGGCCAGGAATGAGCGGTGTGCCCGACGTTCAAAGGGGGAGTGTCCCTGGAAAAAGGGGGACCTGGCCTGGCTTCATTGCCCACAGGTGCGGCCAAGTACATCTCCTAAATTACATCGACCTTGGCAGGGTCCGGTCCGCCTCATTGAGGTTCCCAACCCACAGTCGGCGCGTGTTCAGGTTGGTGCACGGCGTTGGTTCGTGCACACGTCCCGGTTGAAGCCATACATTGCCCCACGGCCGGATGCGTCATCTCCCCAAGTTGCCTTGCCGGGGTCTGTTGCTGCCGACTCGCCCTTGCCTGTGTCTGCTGACCTTGCGAGAGCGCCTGTCGTACCCTTCACAGACAAGCCGGCCGTGACAGTGCAGGGAGGAGGACCTTCCGCTTGTGGGACGCCGACCGGAGCCGCAGAACCCACGGGACCTGCAGCTCTTCCTATCCCTCCGCGGACGCGAGTACGGGATGTTTCTGGACGCGAGCGGGACAGTGGCGGGCCTCCAATGGCGACGGAAGAACTTGCGCCCGTCGCCCCTAAAACCCTTCCACGTTCCCGCTCGGCGGGTGGGCCGCCGACCGTCCGGGACGGCCCGGCTACCCGTACTCGCTCGAAATCCCTCACGTTTCGTTAGATTGTGTTGTGTTGTGTTATTGTTATAATGTTCTTCAATGCTTCGTGTCTTTTTGCGTGTTGGCCCTTTACACCCGCATTGCTTTTCAGGTTGCAATTCAGCCGAGGTCGGCTGGATTTTCTTTAGGGGGGAGGGTGATGTAATGCGGTTGTAAACGGCCCTTCTGAGGTGCCGTCAGGGGGGGAGGAGTTAGGTCACGTGGGGGGAGAGGGGTTGAGTATAGAAGGAGGGGAACCGGAAGAGCAGGGGGAGTGACGGGGAACCAGGAACAGAGGAAGGCCACGAAGGGCGAAGCGGGGTGTGGCGAGATCGCCACGAACACGGGGGGAGCGAGGATCGGCACCGTTGGCCAGCGGTGACCGACCCGAAGCAGCGAGGAGGCTGCAGTCAGCAGCGGGGCTGCACAGAGAGAGTGGGCAGCGGGTCTGCATACAGTGACAGCCAGAGGGTCTGCACATAGGGGTGGCAGCAAGTCTGCAGGGAGGAGGTTACAGTAGATGAAGCAGAGAGTCAGAGGGGTGAGGAAGCTATAATAGCAGTGAATAGCCGGGGGCTACAAATACAGGAGTTATAACAGAGTGCCGTGTGGGTAAAGACGTGAACCTGAATAAAGACACGAAGACAGAAAGAAGTGTTCGAGTCCTTTTATTACAGATATACACAGAAATATACAGGCAGACCTTTCCGAATTATGGGGGTGGGGTTACCTTCCTGGAAAATGCCGTGTTGGGCAAAATCGCATCCGACAAATAAGAGGACCATTGGGGAGACTGGAGTTGCGTTCCTGGGTCCAAAATGATTGACCCCTCCCTCTTGGTAAAACTCATTCTGCAAGATATTTGCCCTTTGCTGCTGTACTAAGGGATGCCGAGTTGCTATCTGTTACGTGTGTGAGTGAGAGTGTGTACAGTACACTTCAGGGAGCGGTGGTGTAGTGGTTAGCGCTACACTGCGCTGTAAACCCGGAGCCTCGAGTTCGATTCCGCTCACAGCCAACACCGGCGACGATTATCTGAACCGGTTCTGGGCCTCCCCGTGGTGCTGGCCACCCACCCACCCCCTCATGTGCCGTGCCGGCCTCCTTAACTGCTCGCTAACAGCACTTGCCTCAACAGCCTGTTAAGATGGGGGATCTTTGTTTGTTTCTATAGTCCACTGTTCATCCCTCAATTTCACCTCAACGTAAATCCCCCGTCTCGATGACTCTTCCCGCACATCGGCACTCGTGCCCAACGCTCGCCCCCGAAACTGTCGCTTGAACGTTAACGATGCGCCATCTCGTCGTGGGCGAGTGAGTAGATTGAGTGTGAATGGGTGAGTGAGTGGGTGAGTGAGTGGTTGATGAGTAAGTGGGTGGGTCAGTGAGTGAGTCGTTGAGTCAGTGGATGGGTGGATCGGTGGGTGAGTGTATGGGTGAGTGTGTGGATGGCTGGGTGAGTGGGTCAGTGAGGAGTTGAGTGAGTGGATGGGTGAGTGAGTGGGTGGGTGGGTGAGTAGGTGGGTGAGTAGTTGAGTGGGTCAGTGAGTAAGTGAGCGGGTAAGTGAATAGTTGAATGAGTGAGTGAGTAAGTGGGTGGATCAGTGAGTTGGTGAGTGTGAGTGGATGGGTGAGTGGGCGGGTAAGTGGTGAGGGGTCGCTCACCTCGATGCTAAAGTATCCACGGTCCACGTAGTCTCCCAGGAACAGGTATCGCGTCTGAGCCGGGGAGCCTCCCACCTCAAACAACTTCATTAAGTCATAGAACTGCCCATGGACATCTCCACACACTGGGAAAGGAGGGGGGAGGAAGGAGGAGAGAGTGAACTGGTGGGAACCACGGTGGCAGGGAGATGTTAACTACCTCGCCTGGTATAAGGAGGTTATGGGTTCGATGCCTGCTGCTCTATATTTGGAGTCTGCGTGTCTCTCTCTCTCCCCGTGGTCATGTGGATTTTTCCCCGGGCCCTCCGGTTTTTCCCTTCACATTTAGAATCGACATCACAGCGTTTAGAGGAGTATTTGACTGCTCCTTTAAATTCTACGCAGCGATGGTATCAGCCACTTGGTGGAGCTATCATTTGTGATAAGTCAGGTTGCTTCTGAAAAAGAGCTACACAGCTCAGTGGGGCCTTACCTGGTAAAATAAAAACTGTTTAGTTTTTTTGTTTAGTTTAGCGAGTCACATGGACCCCTGGTTACCTAGGTAACAAGCGCTTTACCTAGCCAACCAGGGGACCAGTTTCCCAGGTGACCGATTGCCTAAGTCAGGGGTGGGGAACGTCCGGCCCGCGGGCCGTATAAGGCCCGAGAAATCATTTGGTCTCTGGCCCTGCCAAGGCAACCGCAGGCAGGAACTCGAAATTCAATAAATCTAGGAGCAAACTTGGAAAAGCAGTTGCGAGTAGCAACATCATCAATACCAGCTAACATCACACGCCTCGCCAAAGAGAAGAAGTTCCAGCCCATCGCATTAGCGGTGAGTAAATTACATGTTTGACAAAATATAACAGGCTAATTTTAAGTTGATCATTTTGCATGGCCCGCGAATGATGTTATAAAGATCCAAATGGCCCTTGGCAGAAAAAAGGTTCCCCACCCCTGGCCTAAATAATCAGCTAACTCGTCACCACAGCCAAAAAGCGAGCGGTAGCCCCCAGTCGAGCGATTATAAATGTAACTTGGCGAGTAGAGCGGTTGTTAGCGGTAACTTGATGAGTAAACGGCAGTGAAGTTACCGGTAAGCGTCTGCTAGCGGTAACCGGGCAAGTGAGCAGTTGCTAATGAGCGAGAGGTGAGGGTACCGGTGAGCGGATACTAACGGTGACCGGTTGCAAGCGAGCGTCTGCTAGCGGTAGCCGGGCTACCGAGCGGTTTGTAGTAAGGGTTATCGGTGAGAGGTTGCGAGCGGTAAGCGGTTGCTAGCAGTAACAAAGTGGTTGGCGGTGAGCGGTTGCTAGTGAGTGAGAGGTGAGGGGTTACCGGTGAGTGATTGCTAGTGAGTGAGAGGTGAGGGGTTACCGGTGAGTGATTGCTAGTGAGTGAGAGGTGAGGGGTTACCGGTGAGTGATTGCTAGTGAGAGGTGAGGGGTTACCAGTGAGTGATTGCTAGTGAGTAAGAGGTGAGGGGTTACCGGTGAGCGATTGCTAGTGAGTGAGAGGTGAGGGGTTACCAGTGAGTGATTGCTAGTGAGTAAGAGGTGAGGGGTTACCGGTGAGTGATTGCTAGTGAGTGAGAGGTGAGGGGTTACCAGTGAGTGATTGCTAGTGAGTAAGAGGTGAGGGGTTACCGGTGAGCGATTGCTAGTGAGTGAGAGGTGAGGGGTTACCAGTGAGTGATTGCTAGTGAGTGAGAGGTGAGGGGTTACCGGTGAGTGAGAGGTGAGGAGTTACCAGTGAGTGGTTGCTAGTGAGTGAGAGGTGAGGGGTTACCAGTGAGTGATTGCTAGTGAGTGAGAGGTGAGGGGTTACCGGTGAGTGAGAGGTGAGGGGTTACCAGTGAGTGGTTGCTAGTGAGTGAGAGGTGAGGGGTTACCGGTGAGCGATTGCTAGCGAGCGAGAGGTGAGGGGTTACCGGTGAGTGGTTGCTAGTGAGCGAGAGGTGAGGGGTTACCAGTGAGCGATTGCTAGTGAGTGAGAGGTGAGGGGTTACCGGTGAGAGGTGAGGGGTTACCGGTGAGGGGTTGCTAGTGAGCGAGAGGTGAGGGGTTACCGGTGAGTGAGAGGTGAGGGGTTACCGGTGAGCGATTGCTAGTGAGAGGTGAGGGGTTACCAGTGAGTGGTTGCTAGTGAGTGAGAGGTGAGGGGTTACCGGTGAGTGATTGCTAGTGAGTGAGAGGTGAGGGGTTACCAGTGAGTGGTTGCTAGTGAGCGAGAGGTGAGGGGTTACCGGTGAGTGGTTGCTAGTGAGCGAGAGGTGAGGTGTTACCGGTGAGTGGTTGCTAGTGAGTGAGAGGTGAGGGGTTACCGGTGAGCGATTGCTAGTGAGTGAGAGGTGAGGGGTTACCGGTGAGTGGTTGCTAGTGAGTGAGAGGTGAGGTGTTACCGGTGAGTGGTTGCTAGTGAGTGAGAGGTGAGGGGTTACCGGTGAGAGGTGAGGGGTTACCGGTGAGTGGTTGCTAGTGAGCGAGAGGTGAGGGGTTACCAGTGAGCGATTGCTAGTGAGTGAGAGGTGAGGGGTTACCGGTGAGAGGTGAGGGGTTACCGGTGAGGGGTTGCTAGTGAGCGAGAGGTGAGGGGTTACCGGTGAGTGAGAGGTGAGGGGTTACCGGTGAGCGATTGCTAGTGAGAGGTGAGGGGTTACCAGTGAGTGGTTGCTAGTGAGTGAGAGGTGAGGGGTTACCGGTGAGTGATTGCTAGTGAGTGAGAGGTGAGGGGTTACCAGTGAGTGGTTGCTAGTGAGCGAGAGGTGAGGGGTTACCGGTGAGTGGTTGCTAGTGAGCGAGAGGTGAGGTGTTACCGGTGAGTGGTTGCTAGTGAGTGAGAGGTGAGGGGTTACCGGTGAGCGATTGCTAGTGAGTGAGAGGTGAGGGGTTACCGGTGAGTGGTTGCTAGTGAGTGAGAGGTGAGGTGTTACCGGTGAGTGGTTGCTAGTGAGTGAGAGGTGAGGGGTTACCGGTGAGAGGTGAGGGGTTACCAGTGAGTGGTTGCTAGTGAGCGAGAGGTGAGGGGTTACCGGTGAGTGGTTGCTAGTGAGTGAGAGGTGAGGGGTTACCAGTGAGCGATTGCTAGTGAGTGAGAGGTGAGGGGTTACCGGTGAGAGGTGAGGGGTTACCGGTGAGTGGTTGCTAGTGAGTGAGAGGTGAGGGGTTACCAGTGAGCGATTGCTAGTGAGTGAGAGGTGAGGGGTTACCGGTGAGAGGTGAGGGGTTACCGGTGAGTGATTGCTAGTGAGCGAGAGGTGAGGGGTTACCAGTGAGCGAGAGGTGAGGGGTTACCGGTGAGAGGTGAGGGGTTACCGGTGAGTGATTGCTAGTGAGCGAGAGGTGAGGGGTTACCGGTGAGTGGTTGCTAGTGAGTGAGAGGTGAGGGGTTACCAGTGAGCGATTGCTAGTGAGAGGTGAGGGGTTACCGGTGAGAGGTGAGGGGTTACCGGTGAGTGGTTGCTAGTGAGTGAGAGGTGAGGGGTTACCGGTGAGAGGTGAGGGGTTACCGGTGAGTGATTGCTAGTGAGTGAGAGGTGAGGGGTTACCGGTGAGCGATTGCTAGTGAGAGGTGAGGGGTTACCGGTGAGAGGTGAGGGGTTACCGGTGAGTGATTGCTAGTGAGTGAGAGGTGAGGGTTACCAGTGAGCGGGGCGGCGATGTCAAGCACCGTGGGCTCCGCGCGGAGCACCTCTGCCCCGCGCTTGAGGATGAGGATGGCCGCCTCCTCCTCGACGCGGCCCTCGCGCAGGAGGTGCGAGCGCAGCACCTCCAGGCGCGGAGCCGAGGTCGCCTCATCAAAGAGCTCACGCGCGGAGAGGCAGCGCGAAGGGGGGAACGGCACCGCTGCACCGGTGGAGGGCGTGGGAGGGTACGGAGAGGAGGGGGGCATGGGGGAGGGCACGGGGAGGAAGGGGTATGGGGGGGGAAGAGAGGGACGTGGAGGGGAGAGAGAGAAACGGCGACAGAAAAAGGGAGGACACGGGGAGAGAGAGGCACGTGGGGAGTCAGAGGGACATGTGGAGAGAGAGGGGCAGAGAGGGAGGACGCGGGGAGAGAGAGGCACATGGGGAGTCAGAGGAACATGGGGAGAGGCAGAGACGAAGACACGGGGGGGAGGAGAGAGAGAGACACGGGGAGAGATTTATTTTATTAATGTTTTTTTTCACGGTAAGCGCGAGAGCCCGACACAACACGTCAATGGTTTCAGGGGAAGGGGCGAGACAGAAAAACCGTGGGGGACGAGGTGGGGGGGGACTTACTGGCACTTGCCCGCGTCTAGGTGTGGGGAAGGAATGCTCGATGCCCATCCCAAGAGGGTGAGTGGGAGTTTTTATATAAGGGGGGGAGGGGTGGGGGTTGGTGAAGGAGGGGCGAGGAAGAAGCATGCAGCAGCCAAGAAAGGACACGCTACAAATCACATAAAAATACACGCGGCTTTGTCTGTTGATGTGGCAATCCCTCCTCTATCCTGGGTCCATCTTATCTTAACCAGGTACGGGGGGGGAAGGAGGGGCGAGGAGGAAATCAGCAGCATTCTAAGGGGAGATCGGGTGTGGGGAAGGTGGGGTGGAGAAAAGACACTCTACGAATCATACAACATACATGCGCGGCAGCTTCGTGTGTTGGGGCTGACAACCACTTCCTCCTATTCTCATCTCACCTTGCCTGAACGTAATTCATACAGCGCCTCAACAAAGGCACCGCTCGGAGGACGCTACAACGCGCGCGTGTGAATGTAATAGCAGAGCGTGCTGCGCTACGAACCAAGCGACCTGAGTTCGATTCCCGCTCAGAGGCCAACACGAATAACGGTTATCTGAGCCGGACATGGGCCTCCCCTAGGTCGACTCGGCCTCAAATGAGTACCTGGTGTGGTGTGTTAACATCGCCAGTGGGGAGACAAAGGCGGCTGGGCAGGGTGCTGGCCACCCAGCCCCTTGTGTGACGTGCCGGCCTTCATAGGTGCTCGCTAACAGCACTTGCCCCAACAGTCTGAATCTTTGTCTTTGTAGATGCGGTGTATAGAATAGATGAGAGGAAGCAATAGGTGGTGAATCTGTGATGAAGCGTGAACTTGGTGAAAGCGGAACTGACGATGGTAAATGATGATGATGAACGGATATAATGAATGGGGTTAATGAGCGATAGCCGTGTAATGAGAATGTGAAGAGGGAAACATTAACCGTGATCGTGGTGCTTATGATGGGTGTGGTGGTCGTGGGGTGAGCTTGGGAACAATAAGTGAACTTTAAGTGAAGAGCAGAAACTTAGCGAGCGAACTTGACTGCTTAATGTGGAGGTGAGGTTTGTTCCAGTGACGAAGATAAGATGGGCCCCATCTCATCCTAACTGATGAAAGGAGAACGGGTGAGAGGAGAGGGGGGGGCATCCTTCTATCCCTCCCCCTGCCTCCCTCCACCTTTCCTCTCACGTTTTAAACTGAGTTGGTGTCGGTGATTGGGGGTGGAGGAGGAGGCGGAGAACGAGGAGGAGACCACCTGACCTCCAATTCCCCCTTTTCTTCCCCTTTTAAGGTTATGGGTGCTGGTGGCGTGAACTATGGCAGCGTGTCACGCCATTTCCCGGTAAAGAGGAGTGGGGGGAGGCAGTTCGAGGTCTTTCCAGCGAGCCAAGATGGTTTATTTTTCTGGCTATGATGTTGAAAGCTTGGAGCAGGGCATGTGCTGGGTGTTTTTGAAAGGGTACCCCGCCTTTTTGTACATCCCCACTGTGAAGTTTCAATTGACGGAGAGAGGTCGGTGCCGCTTCGCGTCGTTGAAGAAGGCCGATATATTCTGGTTATTAATTTGCGATGTCCGGGCATGACCAACATGCATTTAAGTCGGTTTGTATTGAGCCTTGGATGGTCAGGAGGGGTTGTGAGAGTGAGTTAGTTAATTGTATGTATGTATGTATGTCTAATGAACTTCTTTTGCACCGTACATATCCAACCGTGCTAATCTGTGGTTCTCTGTGGGTCTCTATAGGTCTTGGGTGTCTGTGGGTGTCTGTGTATGTATCTACTTATGTTGAACTTCTTCCGCACTGTACGTAGCCAACCATGTTAATTAAGTTGAGCCAACTTGGCAAGAATTGGGCAAAACCTCGCCCACTTTTTTTTTTACCCAGGAAACTGGAGAGCAGCACAGATGAAGTATGAGTACTAACCTAACATTCAAACATATTCAAGAATTACGGTTAAGAGACAAACAACATTATATAGTACTGTTAAAAGACTTAAAAACACACCGTTTTTTTTACTTAAACTCATCGATGGTTTTGCACCTATCCGGGACAATGTTGTTCCAAGTGCCCAACCCGGCTGCTATTATTTTTTTATACAAATGTAATTTTAAATAAAACTGTGAGCACCACCAACTGAACGCTGCGAGGAAAACGTTGTCAAATTAAAAACAGCACAAGACTTGAATGCCATCGGTCTGGCTGAGGAGTGCGGAAAGTCAATTTTCCCTTCGGAAGATACAAATGTGTTTTTTATTAAATACAATCTCGCATGAAAATGGGAGTAACAGAGTTTCCTTTTCTCTTCCCTCTGCGAGGAAGATTTCATTTTAGCGAGCCCATTAAATGTGCTTCGTGGAGTGAGGCACCTGGCACACACAAAGTGCTCACCACAAATGAACCACAATTACCTCGCTGATCTCATCCAGGAGCGATCGTCACGCGAACTCCGGGTCATACTCGCAGCAGCAGCAACAGCGGTGGCTTTTGGCAAGCCATCGAAAAAATACGGTCACCACATCGGGCGCTTTCAGATGCGCTTCTGCGGCCGTCTGGAACGCTCCTGCTTCCGATATTAGCAAGCCACTGGAGCTGATGCAATTTTAAACCATCATCTAAATTCACAGACTAATTTCTTTAAAACTGCTTTTTGTGTTTAGTTTGTTGTCCTTCCTCCGCACCTCCGATTAGTACGGTTGGGTATGTACGGTGCGAAAGAAGTGCAACACTCACACTATATTCTACACTATACAGTGAAACTTTGGATTGCGAGTTACTTGGTCTGCGAGTGTTTTGCAAGACGAGCAAAATTTGAAAATAAATATTAATTTGATAAATGAGCGAGGTCTTGCATTACGAGTCCTGTAGTACGTACAGTATACGCTTTGTCTGCCGAGCGTCAAGTGATCACAACTGAGCCGATGGTTCTTCTCTCTCTCTCGCTGCGGGATTGTAGCTAATCGTCTTCCATGCTCGGTCTCAGTCGGCGTGCCTCATTCGTATAGTCAACATCCGTGCGAGCTACGGTGTTTACTATAGTGTTGTGACCACGTGTGTGTGCGTAAAGCATTTTTTTTATCTTGTGTCCGAGTGTAGTGACTGTTCTTTAGTAACTGTACTGCAAGTGAAAGTCATCCTACACAATAACCCTCCTCTCCTCTCTCTCGTCTCCCTCATACCAGCCACGATTAAATTTAATTAATACATTTGATTACTTTATATTAAATTTAAATAAGAAAAATAAAAAAAAGGTATTTTGTATCAATCATTTTTATATGAATACAATATTTTTGGGTTGTGGAACGAATCATCTGAGTTTCCATTATTTCTTATGGGGAAATTCGCTTTGATATACGAGTGCTTTGGATTACAAACACGTTTCTGGAACGAATTATGCTCGCAATCCAAGGTTTTACTGTACACTACCTCCAACGAGCACGGTTGGCTACATACGGTGTGAAAGAACTGGAACATACGTACATACTTCTGAGATAAAAAGAAGGTAAGAATAAAGAGTGATGCCGCGACTCTAAGACTCTGTCGCCTCGACGGACCTGGTTTTCACCTGAGGACGGCTGCTTGCGTTGTGGCCGAAACGTCGTGAGAATTGTTTTATTATGTTTTATTTTTATTATTTTATTACTTCCCTTCTACGTGACTTTACCGAAAGAACCAAGAAGAGGAAAATAAAGAGTGACATCGAGACTATTCAAGTTTTTTTATTTTACCGGGTAAGGCTCACTGAGCTTTTTGGCGTCATCTGGTCCAACACCATGTGAGATTAGGCTCTAAGGAAAGCTGTCTCGGGTGTGGACCAATCAATTTCAATGACAGTGCATACATTATCAGAGTTGTGTTTTTGTTTGCATTCCGACTGCAGGTATTGTGGTCAATGCAAACATGACTCCTTGTAAAAAAAGGTGTCAGATTTGTTGCCAGATAAAGGGTACAATTTTTTTATCATATTTTGCTACTGGCAAATGATAGCTCAACGAAGTGGGCTGATCCCCACCACGTGGAGATTTATAGCAGAAGCCAAATACTCTAAACACGTTATTCTAAATGTCGAGGGCAAAACCAGAGGACCCGTAAAAGCGACCACGGGGAGAAATATAGACGTGCTAACTCCAAATATACAATCTTGATTTGGAGCTTTCGTGGCTGCAGGAATCCATACTCTTTGGTTCTTTCGGTAAAGTCACGTAGGTAGAAAATAAAATAAATCACGACGTTTCGGGCGCAACGCAAGCGTCCGTCATCAGGTGGGAAAGCATGGTCTGCTGCTGAGGCAGACCGTATTAAAAAGGTTTGAAATGGGTGTAGCCCAAGGGTCAAAAAGAAGTGGCCGGGGCTAGTGATGTTAATGTGAGAAATTATCATGTAACTGTAAGATATACAGCAGGTGTCACGATTGGGACTGCACCCACTAACTCCTGTATACCAGGCGAGGTAGTTAACATATTCTAGCCACTGCGGCGCGCTTAGACTGGGAGTGTCACTGCCTTGAAAAAAGTATCCCTCGCTGCAGGACTTACGGATATAACTCGCCTGTTCTAAAAGCCAAGATTCTGTCTTAAATTTCACTGACTACCCATCGAATGTGAAGCCATTCTTAAGTTTGACGGACGCTTCAATATTACGCTAACCGCATGACCCCTGGCGCACACGGCACGGTCTGCGTTGAACTTATTTCACACCCTGCGGAGCCGACGGCGCTAATCGGAGCACCGGCACACAGCAGCACACAGACACGCACATCACACAAAGATAAAGACAAAGATCCCCCGTGTAGCCTCAACAGACTGTTGGGGCAAGTGCGGTTAGCGAGCAGCATTAATTAAGGCCGGCATGGCACGGGGGGGTGGGGGTGGCCAGCACCACGCCCGGCCACCTTTGTCTCATTCTAGGCTGAGTCTATCTAGGGGAGGCCCAGGACCGGTTCAGATCATCATCATCATTACTGCTGTTGGCTGTGAGCTGGAATCGAACTCGGATTGCTGGGTTTGTAGTGCAGCGCGCTAACCGCTACACTACACAGCACACTGACACACACAACACACCGACACACACACAGCACACGGACACACAGCAGGACACTGACACACGGCACGCTGACACAGCATGCTGACATACACATTGACACACACACTGACACACACACTGACACACACTGACACACACATTGACACACACACTGACACACACACTGACACACAGACAGACACATTGACAAAGATCCCCCGTATAGCCTGAACAGACTGTAGGGGCAAGTGCTGTTGGCGAGCACCTATGAAGGCCGGAACGGTGCACGAGGGGGTGGGTGGCCAGCACCACGCCCGACCGCCTTTGTCTCCCCAGTGGCGATGTTTACACACCGCACCAGGTACTCATTTAAGGCTGAGTCGACCTAGGGGAGGCCCAGGACCGGTTCAGATAATCGTCACTGGTGTTAGCCGTGAGCGGGAATCGAACCCGGGTCGCCAGGTTCATAGCGCAGCGCGCTAACCGCTACACTACCGCTCTGACATACACACTGACACACACACTGACATACACACTGACACACACAGCAGCACAATGACACACACAGCAGCACATTGACACACACAACAGCGCATTGACACACACAGCAGCGCATTGACACACACAGCAGCGCATTGACACACACAGCAGCACATTGACACACACAGCAGCACATTGACACACACAGCAGCACATTGACACACACGACAGCACCCTGACACACACAGCAGCACATTGACACACACAGCAGCACATTGACACACACGGCAGCACATTGACACACACAGCAGCACGCTGACACACACAGCAGCACATTGACACACACAGCAGCACACTGACACACACAGCAGCACATTGATACACACAGCAGCACAATGACACACACGGCAGCACATTGACACACACGGCAGCACATTGACACACACGGCAGCACATTGACACACACAGCAGCGCATTGACACACACAGCAGCGCATTGACACACACAGCAGGCATGACACACACAGCAGCACATTGACACACACAGCAGCACATTGACACACACAGCAGCACAATGACACACACAGCAGCACATTGACACACACAGCAGCACATTGACACACACAGCAGCACATTGACACACACAGCAGCACATTGACACACACAGCAGCACGTTGACACACACGGCACGCTGACACACACAGCAGCGCATTGACACACACAGCAGCACATTGACACACACAGCAGCACATTGACACACACATCAGCACATTGACACACACATCAGCACATTGACACACACAGCAGCACATTGACACACACAGCAGCACATTGACACACACAGCAGCACATTGACACACACAGCAGCACATTGACCACACACAGCAGCACATTGACACACACAGCAGCACATTGACACCACAGCAGCACATTGACACACACAGCAGCACATTGACACACACAGCAGCGCATTGACACACACAGCAGCACATTGACACACACAGCAGCACATTGACACAACACGCAGCACACTGACACACACAGCAGCACATTGACACACACAGCAGCACATTGACACACACGGCAGCACATTGACACACACGGCAGCACGCTGACACACACAGCAGCACATTGACACACACAGCAGCACACTGACACACACAGCAGCACATTGACACACACAGCAGCACAATGACACATACAGCAGCACATTGACACACACGGCAGCACATTGACACACACAGCAGCACACTGACACACACAGCAGCACATTGACACACACAGCAGCACAATGACACACACAGCAGCACATTGACACACACAGCAGCACAATGACACACACAGCAGCACAATGACACACACAGCAGCACATTGACACACACAGCAACACAATGACACACACAGCAGCACATTGACACACACAGCAGCACATTGACACACACGGCAGCACATTGACACACACGGCAGCACATTGACACACACAGCAGCGCATTGACACACACAGCAGCACATTGACACACACAGCAACACAATGACACACACAGCAGCACATTGACACACACAGCAGCGCATTGATACACACAGCAGCACATTGACACACACAGCAGCACATTGACACACACATCAGCACATTGACACACACAGCAGCACATTGACACACACAGCAGCACATTGACACACACAGCAGCACATTGACACACACAGCAGCACATTGACACACACAGCAGCACATTGACACACACAGCAGCACATTGACACACACAGCAGCACACTGACACACACAGCAGCACATTGACACACACAGCAGCGCATTGACACACACGGCAGCACATTGACACACACGGCAGCACGCTGACACACACAGCAGCACATTGACACACACAGCAGCACACTGACACACACAGCAGCACATTGACACACACAGCAGCACAATGACACACACAGCAGCACATTGACACACACGGCAGCACATTGACACACACAGCAGCACACTGACACACACAGCAGCACATTGACACACACAGCAGCACAATGACACACACAGCAGCACATTGACACACACAGCAGCACAATGACACACACAGCAGCACAATGACACCACAGCAGCACATTGACACCACACAGCAACACAATGACACACACAGCAGCACATTGACACCACACAGCAGCACATTGACACACCGGCAGCACATTGACACACACGGCAGCACATTGACACACACAGCAGCGCATTGACACACACAGCAGCACATTGACACACACAGCACACAATGACACACACAGCAGCACATTGACACACACAGCAGCGCATTGAACCACAGCAGCACATTGACACACACAGCAGCACATGGACACACACATCATCACATTGACACACACAGCAGCACATGGACACACCACAGCAGCACATTGACACACACAGCAGCACATTGACACACACAGCAGCACATTGACACCACACAGCAGCACACATTGACACACACAGCAGCACATTGACACCACAGCAGCACACTTGACACACACAGCAGCACATTGACACAACACAGCAGCGCATTGACACACACAGCAGGACATTGACACACAGCAGCACACTGACACACACACAGCAGCACATTGACACACACAGCAGCACATTGACACACACAGCAGCACATTGACACACACAGCAGCACATTGACACACACAGCAGCACATTGACACACACAGCAGCACATTGACACACACAGCAGCACATTGACACACACCGCAGCACTGACACACACAGCAGCACATTGACACACAGCAGCACATTGACACACACAGCAGCACATTGACACACACAGCAGCACATTGACACACACAGCAGCACATTGACACACACCGCAGCACTGACACACACAGCAGCACATTGACACACAGCAGCACATTGACACACACAGCAGCACATTGACACACAAAACACTGACACACACACAGCAGCAGCAGACACAGCAGCGCAAACATAGAGCAGCACACTTGACACACAGCAGCACAGACACACACCGACACGCAACCCATTAATAGCCCCATCATCATTACCACCACCCACCACCACCACCACCCCGCTCTCCTTACCACCCCCGGGGGCCCCACAAGGCGCCATTCGCCGCAGAGAACCTAGGCGAGACCGAGGCTTTGCTAATGGCGCTAGGCCGCACAGCCCGAGTCTCGCCTCCAGCTCCGCATGGGCTCAAGGCGCCGCCCCGTCCCCCCGCCGCCCTCTCGCCGTCGACCTCCTCCTCCTGCCGCTCACCCTTCACCGCCCGCTCCGTCGTGGGCAGCTTCCCGTCCTTGAGCGGGGCGGCCATGGGGGACGCGAAGAGACGGAGACCGAGAAGAGAGCTGAGACCCGAGACCCGGATGCGCGGTGACGTCTCCGGGCTGCAAGCCCACCCCCACCCAACATGGCCGCCAAGCCCCGGCCACGCCCAACATTGCACCCCCCCCACCCAACATGGCCACCACGCATCGGCCACGCCCAACGTTACTCTCCCCAACCCAACATGGCCGCCAAGCCCCGGCCACGCCCAACATTACACCCCCCCACCCAACATGGCCGCCGCGCCCAACATTACTCCCCACCCAAGATGGTAGCTACGCCCAACATTACCCCCTCCCACCAAATATGGCCACCACGCCCATTACCCCCCACCCAACATCGTCGCCAAGCCTCGGCCATGCTGAACATTACACCCCACCCAACATGGCCGCCAAGCCCCGCCACGTCCAACATTACACCCCACCCAACATGGCCGCCCCGCCCGCACCGACACAAAAACCCCAAAATACCCCCCCCCCCCCACCGGGCCGTGCCTCCCCACCCAACATGACCGCCAGTCGAGGACAACCAGCCGCCATCTTAAGTGGGGAGAAGCCGATGGGGCGTGGTATTTTGCTCCTCCCCCCTCGTCCTTGGCGAGTCGCAACGCGGTGACGTCACAAACGCAATGCGGCAGCCCCCCCCCCCCCCATGGGGCGTCCCTACGCAAAATGGCGGCGGTGGCGTCACTTCGACGCTCACTCAGTAATCAAAATCCGATGATCTATGAAGCTTTTTTTTTTACAAATTTCCAGTAGGGACGAGGGGGGGGTCAGAACGTTACTGCAACAACACAATACTATTCATAAAATGGGTCCTTTTTGCCAGTATCAAATTTTGAAAAAATAATAGATTTTCCCCTTTCTGGCAATGAAACAGGAGTTGTTAAGATGTTCAAACACCAAGTAGAAACCTTTTGCAAGGAATCACTTTACTGCATTAACCACACACAGTGCTTGTGGTGAGCATGCAAACAAACATGTTCTGATATGTGCATTGTCTGAAACTGTTCAATTAAGCAAAGTATACGAATTACAATTAGACACGTTAAACTAAGTCTAGATTTGAAGTTTTCGTGACTGCAGGGATCCATACTCTTTGGTTCTTTCGGTAAAGTCACGTAGGTATAAAATAAAATAAATTATATCAAGACGTTAAACTCAGTGTTAAAAAAAACACGTTTCTTTTTTGTGCGCGCATGTGTGCCGATGTGTGTGTAAGATGGACGATGATCTGAATCGGTCCTGGGCCTCCCCTAGGTTGACTCAGCCTCAAATAAGTACCCGGTGCGATGTGTAACATCGCCACTAGGGGAGACAAAGGCGGCCGGGCGTGGTGCCGGCCACCCACCCCCCATCGTGTACCGTTCCGGCCTTCATCGGTGCTAATCGCTAACAGCACTTGCCCCAACAGTCTGTTACTGGCTATACCTGGGATCTTTGTCTTTGTGAGAGTTAGGCTCCATGGAGGAGACTCCTGGGTAGTTTTGCTTACCAGGGTGATGCGTAGTCTATGCTTGAGGTTATCGAGGGATGATGATGTTTTGGCAACGTCAATGTAAGGAATTCCAGAGTTAGGGAACCTCTGTGTCCGATCGATAATTGACTGGGTTCGTGGTGCGTAGGGCGAAGATGGTCGGAGTGTCTTGTGTTGTATGCATGGATTTGGGATTTAACTTGGAAGGTCGTGCACAGTATAGGGAAAATAAGCAAATCACTTTAAAATGTATATGTACGATTCAGAATATTTATTTGTACTGGAGGAAAAATTGCGATGATTTATTAAGCTCTTTTTTACACATGTCCAGTAGGGATCATTGGTCAGAACGTTACAACAAAGGATACAAAAAAACACGATTGGTCGTGCAAAGTATAGGAAAGGCAAGCCAATAACTCACACACACAAAATGTACACGTAATATTGTACTATTTTGTATTTGACCAGATGTAAGACTCCACATCATCATCCCTCAATAACGTTTTCAGAAGCGACCCTGGCTATCACAAATGATAGCCCCCAGTGGCGGCTTCTGCAAAATCTCTCAGGGGGGGCAAATGTCTGGATGATTGATAAGGATAAGGTCCACCCATGCAATGAATAAATTAACAGCTTAAGCATGTAAAGGCAACGTCACTTCTTTAATATTAATGCAAAATAAAGTGACTCTTACAATACATCGTGTTTGTTTAAATACTCAATATTAAAACAAACCACTCAAGTTTATTTTATTAAAGATTCCACTAGGTAGCGATAAATTATATTGTTGGATGAAACGTGCTTACGTATGATGACGTTAGCACGTATGATGACGTAAGCACGTTAGGGCTTGCCCTCCCGGAAGCCATAGAGAATGCATTGGAGCGCCCCCATTCGAACAAAAAACATCTTTGAATGTAAGTCTATGGGGCCACTCAGGGCGATTCTCAGCCGGAGTGAAATCGCCTTAAAAGAGGCGGTACTCCACAGAACGTGACATGACGCTGATTGGACTATATCCAGAGGCTGACCGTGACGGCTAGCGTGACTCTGTGGTTGAATGACATTGGTGGTGCGTCGCCCAATCGCCCTAATGAAGAAACCGCCCCTGATAGCCCCACAACCCAAATGGCCGAAAACATCATCACGTGGAAACGGGTATCAGTAGCCAATCAACTCGAAGCGCGTGGTGATGTCGATTCTAAATGTGGAGGGAAATAGCCGGAGGAAAAATAAGTAATATTAAAAAGAATTTTTTTTTTAAACACGCTTTTATGAAATGTACTAGTGTAGAGGTGATACGCGCTGGGATTAGAGATCGTATGCCAGCGCGTAATGATTGGCTGTGTAGGTGGTGACGCGCGCTGACGGTGGAGGATCAGGGGTCAGCGCGGGGTCGTGGGTTACGGGGTAATGATTGGCTGTGGGCCGGTGACGTGCTGAGAGGGAGTGATCGGGTGGCAGCGCGGTGTGATTGGTGGAGGAGTGTTAACACGCGCTGGGGAAAACGGATCGTAGAGAGAGTGCGTCGTGATTGGTTCATTAAGGAGCGATGCTCACGTTGAAGTACCCATCAGCTCCGCCTCTCGTGAGCAGGGGCTATAAAAGGGGATGCACACAGGCGTGAGGGCAGTGTGTAACCAACGAAGAATGAAGACGGGGATGAAGACCTAGGGCCCTGCGGTACCTAGTCCCGCTGTCCTAACGGGACCGGGACTCTGTGTAACCCAGAGGCGAGTGTAGTGTGTGGCATAAGGTCTACACGAGCCGAATGCAGTGTGTGTAGCCAGGGACATAGGGTCTACACGAGTCGAGTGTATTGTGTAGCCAGAGGCGTAGGGTCTACACGAGTCGAGTGTATTGTGTAGCCAGGGACATAGGGTCTACACGAGTCGAGTGTATTGTGTAGCCAGAGGCGTAGGGTCTACACGAGTGAAGGGTATCGTGTGTAGCCAGAGGCCTAGAGTTTACACGAGAGTAGTGGAGTGTGAAGTCGGAAGAAAGGAGACTACACGTTGTATTTTGACACGTAAAGATTTAATAAAAAGTGTGTTCCCGTCAAGAAGTTCCTGCCGTCAATTCCCATACTTCACTAGTAATGGAAGAACTCCACGACTCCAGAAAGTGGCCCCAAAGCTTGCCATAACGTAAGGACCGTGGCCAATTAGACCCAAGCCGAAACATAACATATAAAAAAGAACGTTTAAAAAAATATATATATTTTTATGATAGAATATAGTATTGTCATCAGTATGACATAAGTATACCAAGTTGCAGTCGATACCACATTGGGAAGTGGGTTAAAATTGAGTTACAAGATTTGAGGATACAACAACAGAGAGAGTGAGTTAAATGAAAGCGTGTAAAAACCACACAGTGACCACCGCGGGAAGAGATAGAGAGGCGCAGATTCGAAAAATACAACAGCAGCCGGCGTCGTCAGGGTTGGAATCGAACCCACAACCTCCTGTATTCCAGGCGAGGGAGCTAACATCTCCTGGCCACCGTGGTGATGATGAGAGAGAGACACAAACTCCAAACATACAGCAGGCATTGTCAGGGTCGAGATCGAACCCAGGACCTCCCGTATACCAAGTAAGGTATTTAACATCTCCTAGCCACCGTTGTGATGATGATGAGAGACAGACGCAGACTCCAAATATACAGCAGCAGGCATTGTCAGGGTCGGGATCGAACCCATGCCCTCCTGGAAACAAGGCGAGGTAGTTAACATCTCCAAACCACCGTGGCGCTGTGGTACAATAATAAGTAATATTTTAAAATATATATTTTTTAAAACACGCTTTAATGAAATGTACCCTCCGAGTAATGGCAGAACTCCACGACTCCAGGAAGTGGCCCCGAGGCTTGCCACAACGTAAGGAACCGTGCTGGTTTACAACCAACGTGAGTTGAGCGTGGACAATTAGACCCAAGCCGAAGCATAACATATAAAAAAGAATGTTTAAAAATACTTTTACATTTTTTGGGATAGAATATAGTCTTGTCATCAGTAAGACATAAGTATACGAAGTTTGCAGTCGATACCACATTGGGAAGTGGGTTAAAATTGAGTTACAATATTTGAGGACAAAACAACAACAGATTGAGTTAAATAAAAATCGTATCATAATAAAAAAACGGACCGCAACGGAATCGCTTTATCGTGGAGATATCAGCCAATCAAAAATACCCCACCAGGGGGCGTGTCACGCGACACTACACTGACAAATGGCGAGTATAGCGATCCGTGGGTCGCGTTATGGCGAGGAATTGACGCAGCGATTAACCCCGCAAAATTTGCGGTCGACTTTGAGCCTGTTGCCGGATCAACTGAGCAAGAATCGAAAGGATTGACCTCGATTCACGATCCGCGGCGACCATATATGGGCAAAGACACGCCTCCTTTATGAGACACCACTAAAGCTGTCAACCCCTTATCAGTGCCCCTACCTTCTTCCAGACCCATTCAGACCTTATCGGTCACTCCATGCCCTTATAAATCTCAACGTTCATCCTACAAAGTCCCATCACAAGGGAGAAACACAAAATAGACCATTTTTTGTGCCCGTATTGAAACGGCTGTACACCGTGTGG